TGTGTGTGTGTGTGTGTGTGTGTGTGTGTGTGTGTGTGTGTGTGTCCCATCCTGCATGTGAAGGTCACAGAAAACTTCTGGGAATGAATCTCACTTTCTACCTTGTCTGTTCCAGGGATTGAGTTTAGATCCTCAGGTTTAACAGCAAGCCCCTTTAACCACTGAGCCATATTACTGGCTCTGGGTTTCTTTTATCTTATGGAGCATCTAGGAGGTTTAAAATCAGAGGCAGGAACTGGCCTTAGTGATACACACCTGCAGTCCTGGATTCAAGAGGCTAGGAGAGATCTCAGTTTTAAGGCCAGTGCAAGCTACATAGTTTATTTTCTTTAAGATGTATTTGTTTATTATGTATACAGTGTTCTGTCTGCATGTGTTCCTGCACACCAGAAGAGGGCACCAGATCTCATGATAAATGGTTGTGAGCCACCATGTGGTTGCTGGGAGTTGAATTCAGGACTTCTGGAAGAGCAGCCAGTGCTCTTAACCTCTCAGCCTCCTCACCAGCCCCAGGCTACACAGTTTAAATGAGTGTCAGGGGGCTGAGAGCTAGTGTTTGCATGAACTCTGGATCCCAGCTGTGGAACCACAAAAAAAGTTTTAAATAAATATTTACTAGTAATTAGAATAAAAACAGAGGAAAATAAGGTATGTGTGTGTAGTAAGCAGCTAGAAGAAAGCATGCTGGATCCTTAGGTTTCCATCCAGCTAGTATTTATTTCCTTCCCAACCCTGTGTTCTGTACATATGAAAATCCATGTTCTCCTACTAATGTAACCTGCTAACTCTGTTTCCTCTGGGGTTGGCTAGAGGCAGGGCTCTTGCTCACACTGAAATGTGAATGACTGCCAGCAGGTCTTCAGCTTTTCAAAGGTAAAACAGAAGTAGGGTGATAACTGAATTCAGTTCTGCCCAGGCTAGTCCCAAGGTGTGTCTGTCCCTCTCTCTAGGCCAAGGCCACACAGAGCAACACGATCTTGACAATGCTCTCTGTGGACAAGGAAGGAAACTCAGAGCATACCCCAGGGGGTTGGGGAAGTCTGTCTACACCAGCAGTCTCTGTCTGCATTCCTGGAAGTCTCCTTGATGCACTTTGTTCCACACTCTAAAGCCGGTGGGTGGGTCCTTCCATCTGCCAGCCATGATAGCGAGTCGAGGGGTGAAAAAGAATACCCAAATGGAGGACAAAGGAAATTGTCTATGGATCCTCAAAAGGGTTCAGGGAGCAGGGTGGAAGAAGATGGCTCAGTGGCTAAGAGCGCTGGTTGTTCTTCCAGAGGTCCTGAGTTCAATTCCCAGCAACCACATGGTGGTTCACAATCATCTATAGTGGGGAATGATGTCCTCTTCTGGCATAAAGGTGCACATGCAGCTAGAGCACTCATACATAAAACAGATAAATCTTGAAGAAGGAGGAGGAGGAAGATGAGACACCAACAAATGCCATGTACCCCAACCTCAGTAGCAGGAAGGAAAGCTAAGGAAGAGGGTTGAACCAGTCATACAGGGCCTGGGAGGATACTCAGAAGCCTGGCTTGAAATAAAAGATAAAGAGGGTTAAGGATGTAAGTCAGTAATGAAGGGCTAGCCTAAAATCTGCCAGTAAGTCAGGAGCTAGGGGCATGGCTCGGTGGCAGAGCACCTGCCTAGAATCCCTTCAGCAGTAGAAAATTTGCCCCAGATGTTATCTCCAGTACTGCAAAAGGAAGGAAATCGTTGTTGTTTTTAGAGCCACATAGAAACTGTATTTTCTGTCCCTCCAGAACAGAGCACCGGAGAAGCAGGAGCCCATCACAGACTTTGCCCAAATGACTCTCCTAGACACCCTTCAGCCCACCTTGCAGGCATTGGAATTTGTCAATGATCTTGGTCAAGGGTACCCAGCCACACTCTGAGAGTCAGGTCCATTTTTGTAAATGAGATTATTTCACCTGTCCACTATCCAAGGAGGTAGTCCTGAGCAGTTGAGGACTGCTGGATTTCTGGAATGTTCAAGCAACTAGCTAATGAATGGATGTCAGTCCGTGACTGGCATTCCTAGCCTTGCCTGGCCACTGCCGTGTTCACTTGCATGGATATTGCTACATGTGCTGTGTTAACCTGCATGGATGGATCTGCCCCAGCTGCTTTTACAGGGACCTGGAGCCCTTTTGCAGCACATAGGAAACAAGCTACAACACTGAGTTCAAGAGATAAAAAAAACTGGGGCACAAAGCAGGGCCCTGGCCTGGCAGCCTGAAGTCTATCCTAGCAACTCCTCCCTCTATACCTCTCCTGGATCCCCACAGCAAGCCTCTCTTGCTGGCTCCAACCCCTTTCCCAGTCCTGGAATTAATAAAACTCCAAGCAGACTGTGGTTTGCAAGTCTGTGAGCTAGTTCCTGCCCGCGTCACTACTCCAAGAGGAGTGGGGCCCCGCTCCCCACCAGCACCCCTGCAATCCTCCATCTAGGGCTTGGAGCCTCAAGCCCCACCCATGGCATGGTCCCTATTCCCATCAAGGTTGGCCTGGAGACTTTAGGCTCTTGATTCTTCTGTACACACAGGGCACACCCAAACACACACTACAAAAGACCTATACATGTGCTGTGGTTTCTACATGGTTCCTGTGTTCTCTCTTTCTTGTATTTTACTCTCTCTCTCTCTCTCTCTCTCTCTCTCTCTCTCTCTCTCTCTCTCTCTCTGTATGTGTGTGTGTGTGTTTCTCTCCCATGCTTTGGTTTTTTTTTTATTGTTGTTGTTTTTTATTTTTGTTAAGACTCTCAGGTACCCCAGGCTGACCTCAATGTCACTACACAACTGATCCCCCTGCCTCTACCTCCCAAATACTGAGATTCCAACAATGTATCACTACCCCCATCTGCTTTTCTTTTAAAGATCAGGTATTGCCATGTAGCCCAGGTTAACCTGGAACTTGCTATCTAGCTCAGGCTGGTATTGAACACTCTATCCTCCTGTTCCAGCCTCCCAAGTGCCATACCCAGCTTTGAGATGATTCTCCTATCATGTCCAAATTCTAGTGATATCATGGCTGGTAGACCATGGGAAAGGGAAAGACTGCCCAGGATCGCAGACTGATCCAATAGAGGCTCAGTCGAGCCAGATAGCTACACCACAAACAGAGGCAGAGCTTCCAGAACTAGCTTCAGCACTGTCAACGCGTACACTTCTAGGCACAGAGCAGAGACACACACCCACATTTTCTTTGTCTTTGCAATCATCTCCTAGTTGAGGGTACAGTTGCCCTCATCAGCTAATGTATGAGGCAAGCTAACTCTATGGAGTTGTTCCCTAGAAAGTGCTGGAACTAACTGTGTACAGTGGTACACACTGGTCATTCCAATATTCAAGAGGCTGAGGCAGGAGGATCTTGAGTTCAAGGCCAGCCTGGGATGTATAGTGAGACTATGGCAATGTTAAAGGGAGGGAGGAAGGGAGGGAGGGAGAAAGAGATGGAGGGAGGGAGGAAGGGGAGGGAGGGGGAGGGGCAAAAAAGAAAAAGGGTCAAAAGAAAGAAAAACGGAGACCCAGAAATCAGCCTAGTCCTACCCACGCCACCTGCCTTTGATCTCTCCCCTCCTGGTCATTGCTGTCAGATCTGCAGAGTCCTCTACCCTGTGCCAGGCAAGATATCTTTAACTTACCCCTCTGGGTCACTTCCTGCAGGAGAAAGACCCCAGGACATATGGCCCACTCTTCCCTCTGACCAACAATGACCTAGAGCAAGGGACCATCTTCGTCTCCTATCCTCTAGCACTCATATTTCCTTCATACATGCAGGGGGCTGAAGTGACATAACCTTCCCCTAACCCACCCCTTCACCTCCCTAAAACCTTCCAGGATCCCCATATGTTCATGAACCGGGCTGCCAGGGCACTATACTAACCACAAGCTTTCCTGGCTGACTACTTCTGCTGGCTCGGCAAAGGCTGCCCCCTTTTGGTCGTCTTGGGAATAGCATCCTTAAGCCTTCCCAGAGGCGCCAAGAGAATCGGGGGTTTCCAGATCCAGACTAGAGCAAGCAGTGCTCAGCATTTGACAGGTGGTGAACAAGCAATAATGAGAATACTGAGTTAATAGTCATCTTCACAGAGCTCCAACATCCATGTCCCCCCGCCCCAGGCACTTAAGATCCAGTCTGACATCTGTTGGACACTGGTTTGCTCGGGGAGGTGCAAAGTTATGCCCGTGGCCCATATAGAATCAAGGAATACCTTATGCAAGGATCATCTTGGAGCCCTAGGGAGACACTAAATACATGGCTTTCACTCCCAAGCCGTTCACCGGACCTCAGCCCCTTGGTTTCTGCAACCATAGACCCTGGACTTATCCAACACTCTTGCCTAGCTTCAAACAGATGGCTAAGCCCTTATCTGAACCACGATGAACTAGATCATATGTCAGGGTCTCTATTCTGTCCCCAAAATGCCCCATGCTGCCATACCCATCTTATTTTCTCTCCCAGGCAATTCTGCCTGCAGACTCTATAGGAAGACCCTAAGAGCTAAGGAGTCCCATCAATCTTCCTAACCAGGTTTTGGGTAAGGTCTACCCTTATCTAGGCCTGGAAGGGGTGTCGGGGTGTCTGCAGGACCAGGGTGGGAGCTGAGGCGCGGGACAGCTGGCCTGTGTCCCCACACTGGGCCTGGGGCCCAGGGAGTGGGGCGGGGGCCTGGCTACTCCAGCCTTGGCTAGGGCTGGGATTTTTTGGCCGGGCTGCCTGGGCCCTCCCTCCTGCTTCCTCTCCAGAGGGCTGTCCTGGCAAAGGCCCCCTCGCACTTTCTGGCGGGAACAGGGCCAGGAGCAAGCAAACAGCTACAGAGGGAAAGCGGGAAAGAGATGGGGGGAAAGCAGTGTGTGTCTGTGTGTGTGTGTGTGTGTAGGAAAATAGACCCATGGTCCAGGTTGCAAGCCTGGCCTTTCGTAATTGCCCCCTCCCCCGCGACCCCCTCCCCCAGCTCCCCCTCCTCCCGCCCTCCTCCCACCCGCCCTCTCTCCCTCCCTCCTTCCCTCACAGCAGCCTACCAGGCAGCAATTACGCTTTGGGGATAAAACGAGGCTCAGAGAGCAGGCTGGGGCAGTCCTCCCCGAGATGGCGGGTCTGACAGCAGCAGTCCCGAAGCCTGGCGTCTTGCTGATCTTCCTGCTCAACCTCCTCCATCCTGCGCAGCCTGGAGGTAAGGGGCCCCTCACCGGTCCCATGCTGCCCCTCACTGGGACCCAGCCGGCCAGGTGACAAGACTGATGAGGGATCCTGGAGATGGATGAGCGCTTCACCTCCAGATCCCCCCTCCTCCAGGCAGGGTCCTGGGAACTGACTGACCCCTCTAGGGAGCCAGCTCTGCCTAAGGGGTCCTGTCAAACATACATTCCATAAATCAGGATGGTCTCTACACTCTGTCCAAGCTCTGAGACACCTGGGTGCTTTCCCAGTGGTGGCAGTTTGCACACCTGTGCACATACCACCTGGGAAAAGAGACAATCCTGGTTTGTCTTTGCTTGGGGATGTTGGGATACGCGTGTGTGTGTGTATGTGTGTGTGTGTGTGTGTTTCATACTATGTTGCACAGGTGTCAATGTGAGGGTCTGGCCGATCATGTCCTTGAAGGAGAAGTATCTGAGAAAGGTATGAAGGTCTGTTGACCAGTCCATTCCTAGACAGGTGGAGGTGGAGGGAGGCAACCTTGAAGTTGTCTGGTGGGACCTGCCCAAATCCAACACGCAGCTGGGTATGCTGAGCCACACCTGTGATCCCAGCATGTAAATTCAAAGCCAACCAACCCCACCTCAAGAAAAAGGCAAAAACTAAGCGAGGGCTAAGAATGCCTCAGTTGATAAAGTGCATGCTAAACATGCACGAAATCCTGGATAAACTAGATGGGCGTGGTGATGCACACCTGCGTGGGGCCCGAGGATCAGGAATTCAGTATATCATTAGCTACATAGTGAGTTTGAGGCCATATGGCCTACATGGGGCTGTCTCAAAAAAAATAAAATCCTGAAGAAGCCTGGTGCGCAGGTGTAGGTTGTCACTGTAAGTGTGTACGAGTCTGTGCCCATAGAAGGGTTTGCTGGTGTGGAGTACAGGCCAGGGAGGGTGAGCTGGGAAAAATGCCATCTCCTGGCAGACAGGGCACAGCTGGTACCAGAGGCTACAGGGAGCCTCGAGTTATCATTTTGGTCATCTGATACGTATCCGGAGCAGGCACATTGGGTTATGGAGGAGGAAGGAGACTGCTCACAGAGGGAAGGTGCATCCGGCTATGGGGAAAGAGATGCAAACCATGAGCCATCTGCCGGAGTAGTCTGGGTCAAGTCTGGTTTCCGTAAGAGACCTCCCTGTCGTGGGAACCTGAACTTGAACTGGGGACAGGGGGCTTCAGGGCGGGGCAGGGTGGGGCGGGGCGGGGCAGGGCTGTGGTCAGAGGCTGGGTGGGAAGAACAGCTGTTCTATGAGACTGACCTGCTCAGGAGCCCGCTGTAGGACAAGAGTTCCTAAACTGAGACAAGACTGAGGTTGTGGGAACCAACAGGAGGAACCTGCAGCCACAGCTGCTGCAAGCCAGTGGTTAAGAGTAGTGACTCTGGGTCACCTGACCCTCCCGTCCCAGATGTGGTCACCTAACATCTGTCTACCCTCCTCCCTTGATGGTTCTATTGGTTCATCATAAAGTATTATCTTTACTGATGGAGAAACTGAACCCAGACATGAAAGCACTCACCTGAGGCAGGAGGCTGTCCAGTTGGAGGGCAGCCTGAACTATGTAGTGAGATCTTGTCTCAAAAGCATCTAAAAGAAGGCTAGAGATGGAGCTTAGCTTGTACAATACTTGCCTAGCATGCTAGGAGTCCTGAGTTCCATCCCTAGCACCATATAAACCAGGTGTGATGGCTCATGCCTGTGGTCCCAGTTCTCGGGAGGTAGAGACAGAAGAACAGGAGTTCAAGGCCATCCTTAGCTATATAGGGAGTTCAAGGCTAGCCTGATCTACACAAGACTCTCTTGAAAGATTCAGAAATAGAGCCTCAAGCAGGCTAATGCCAACCCTGAAAGTTAATATTAGCCAACTTTCTGCCCTGAGTCAAAAAAGTAAGTAAGTAAGTAAATAAATAAATAAATAAATAGGGAGTGTGGGAAATACCAGGGAATATTGGGGAGAGACAGCCCTGGGGTAGAGTCTTCCTTTAAGGGCAGAACAAACCCTCCCCTTTTAGCCTGGGTGACATCACTCAGTACTTAGCTGGCATCATTCCCCATGAAGATAAATCTCAACTCTGTCCCAGGTGGCTGGAGTCACTAGGTTCCAGTAAGAGACATGTGAATCGATGAGGTCTTTCAAGATCTGTTCTGAGCCCACTGAAGTCCAAAGAGGTCAGAGATCTGGGCGGGGCTCAACACTGGTCACACCTACCTGGTCTCCCATCTCTCTGGTCCTGGGGGAGCTCAGTCTCCCCAGAGGAAGATGTCATGGGTACCAGTTCCTTCTCACTACTAGGAGGGGAGTGATGATAGCATTTCACTTGAATAATGACTTGCTTTAGCCCTATGTTAAAGGGAATGTATAAACCAGGTGTGGTGGCTCAGGAACTCACAAGGCTAGGACAGGAGGATTGCGGTGTGTGTCCTGTGCTATAGAGTGAGTTCCAAGCCAGACTGTGCTATATGGAGAGACTCTATCTCCTGCCCTCCCCCAAGCAAAATTAAAATAAAAAGTCACCAAAAGAAAAAAAAATCAGGCATGGTAGCACCCTTACCTTGTGGCAGCCTTTTGCTTTGGAAAGGTAGAGACAGGAGGATCAGGTGTTCAAGGTCATCATCTATGTAGTGAGTTCTAGGCTAGCCTGGGCTTCATGAAGCCCTTTCTCCAAAACGTACGTGATAGAGGATTAGATAGAAAACAAAGTTCAGTGTTCGTCCTGATACCAGAAACATTTTCAGCATCCCTGCCCCTCATTTACACACTGAAAGTTTATCTCAGGAGATTTCAACCCTGATGGGCATGACGGTCACCTGGGTCTATGCTATGACCCAAGAATTCTTCCTCTGTTTGATCTGTGGAGGCTCTTGCTTGAGGGATTTGGGGTTTGACAGCTCCGTGGATGCCTCTGATAAGCTGCCAAAGATTTAGTGTCTTGATCCAGTTCTATGTGTCTGTTGGAGCCAGGGATGGCTCACCCACCCGCAGAGGCATACACAAGCAACAATGCTTGGCAGACTGCTCCGTGCACACAACAAACAGCTCGGTGAGGTCTTATCTGCTCAAGCCAGGCTGCCCCAGTGGACTTTGGCTTGGCAGAGCCCCCTGCCAGGACCCGCTGGCCCTGCTCCCTGTGGTCTTTGACCCTCCCAGCAGCAAATCCAAGGTCAAATGTAGCTACCAGGCCAAAGTTCTTGTTCTGGCTGACTCAGTTTTCCTGGCTGCAAAATGGAAGAAACACCCCTGATTTTAGTGCTCAGCCCCTAAGCGTCACTGGGGTTTGGGGACAAGGGGGACAGTAGCCACTTGACAGCTGCCAAAAATATATCCACTGAGATGATCATGGGACAGCAAAATGGTAAAGTGACGTATTCTCTGGCAATTTGCTAAGGACCCGATAGTCCTTGTAATTAGCTCCTACCTTTACTTTTCTAAGTTTTTTATTATCTATTTATTATTGCTGTTTGTTGTTGTTCGGGTTTTTGTTTGTTTGTTTGGTTGGTTGGTTGTTTTTTGTTTTTTGTTTTTTGTTTTTTTTTTTTTTGGTGCTAGGGACTGAACCCAAGACCTTGTGAATGCTCTACCTCTGAGCTATATGTCCAATCCCTAAGGTGGGTTTTTTGTTTGTTTGTTTGTTTTGTTTTTTGTTTTTGGTTTGTGTGTCTGTTTTGTTTCGTTGAGACAAGGTCTCATATAGCCCAAGCTGGCCTCGAACTCACTATGTGGGTGAGGGTGACCTTGGACTCCTCATCTTCCTGATTCCACTTCCTGATCGTTGCATCTGTGAGGCACTGAGCCTGGCTCCAATTCTCTAAGGTTAAAACACACTTTTGTTTTAGAGTCTCAAATATGCCATAGCTCTGGGTGGCCTGGAACTTGATAGGTAGGACACATTGACCTCTCCAACTCGAAGCAATCCTCCTGCCTCTGCCTCCCAGGTACTGGGATTGTCAGTGTTTATCACCACCCCTGACCTACCCAATCCAGTTCCTAAGGCTTAATTCTCCCTGTCAGAGGTGATTGGTATATAAACAGGTGACGGAGGTGACAGAGGGCTCAGGGAGGGCTCTCCAGAGACTGAGTCTGTCTGAGGGGACTGGAGAGAAAAGTTTAACTGGCATGGGGACACAGCCTGTAATCCCCAGGATTTGGGATGCTAAAACAGGACTGTAAACCCAAATCCAGCCTAAGCTACATAGAGAGTTCAAGGCTAGCCTGGACTACAAAAAAACCCTGTGTTGGAAGAGAAGAGGAGGGAGGAGTTAGTGGAAAGAGTTAGGAGAGAGGAGGGGAGGGGAGGAGAGGAGAGTTAGTAGAAAGAAGGGGAGGGGAGGGGAGGGGAGGGGAGGGAGGGAGGGGAAGAGAAGAAGGCAAAACCGAAAACAATCTGAGGGACTAGGAAGTGGCTGCCGCCCAGGAGGAAGCCTGTGCAGACCACACTGATGCAATGAGGGCTGATGTGTCCCCCATCTCGGAGACTTTACAGGCAGAGGACTAGGGGATGTTTTCAGGGGTTCTAGCCCAGGCCAGAGGACTATTTGGATCCCTGGGAGTCTAGGATCATGATTCACACGTGTGAGAGATGAGATCCACCCCAAGGCTAGCAGGAGGAATGAGCCAGACACAAGTGTGCTCCAAGCCAGCTGCTTGTGGCCAGCTGAGCATGGAAGGCAGGAGAAACTGCGGTGGGCTGGGAGAAGGCGGGGCGGAGAAGGCGGGGCAGACGGTTTCAGCACAGCCTTGGAGAAGGAGAGGACTTGGAGGGAGGTGAGGATGTTCTTGGTGGGAGAACTCACTGACACCACGGAGAGGCAGTGGGAATGAGGACATGCCATAGACTCGGTGCATGGTTTTTTGAGACAAGGGGCTTGCTATGTTGCACAGGCTAGCCTGAACCTGTGTGTAGCCCAGGAAAGCCTCCATCTCCCTATGAAGTGCAACATGACCTCAAACTCACAGTCCTCCTGTATCTGCTTCCAGGTACAGAGATTACAGGTGTGTGCCAACATGTCCTATATACAGAGTCTGTTATTATATGATATTAAAATTATATATTATATTTCACATTTTGTAATTTTATGGTGTGTATGCACATACCATGGGGGGGTCAGAGAACTAGGGGGAGTCAGCTCTTCCTCTCCACCATATGGGTTCCAGGGATTGAACTCAGTCATCATCAGGCTTGGCAACCAAGATAATGGCAGCTTCTCAGCCTTCTCCATTTTCTCAGTGAAAAACAGGAATCAAAAACTCAAGACAGGCCTGGTGGCACACTCCTACCATCCCAGCATCCTAATGGCTGAGGTTGGAGAATCTCATGTTGAAAACCAGCTTAGGCTACATAGTGAGATCCTGTCTCAAAACAACATTCCAGCTATCTGGGGTGTCCTGGGTTGGGTATGAAGGTGAACCAAGGTTGTTGGGCTATGGAGCATGGTTGTGGAAAGCAGAGAGAGAAGAGCTGGAGAGAGGGGAATTAATAGCTTCCTCAGGAAGGAGCCTGGTCATAGGTGGAGGGTTAGAAAACAGAGCTCTAAGAGAGAGGAAGTAGGGTTCAGTCAGGCCAGGGGCTCAGCAAGCCCACCCCAGGGGTCTTGTGGTGAGAGTGGGGAAACAAATCAGACACAATCTCTCTGCCTCCCTCACTCACCATTTATTGAGTACCTATTGTATACCTGGCCCTAGCCATGTACAAGAGAAAACAGGAAACCCATGATCACCAGCATTTTCTTTTAACAATTTCTCTCTGTGCCGGGTGTGACTAGCATCCATCTCTTTTGTTTGAATGTTTGTGACCATACCAGGCAGCTAACATCACACCTACATTGTAGGGGGAGAAAAAGAAGTGAGGCTTGGCTGGGGGTGTGGCCCAGTTGGCAGAGTGCACCCTGGGTTCTATTCCTAGCCCTGGAATAAAACAGGTGGGGTGGCACAAGCCTGTAACCCCAGCACTGGGGAGATGAAGTTACTTGCCTGAGATCACACATCAAATGAGGAGCTGGGAGAAAAGCCAGAGGGCTGTGCCCTGAGTCCCCTCACAGTTCCTGTTGCTCCTGTGGGCAGCCCTGGGGCTGGGGAACAGAAAGAATAGGAAAAACATCGGAGAAAGTGCAGGAGAGAGGCAGAGACCCTCCCTGCATTGAGCTCAGAGCCTGGGAGGGCATCAATCAAAGGGCAGGTCACTGTGTTTGGGAGCTCAGGACAATGCTAGAAGGCAGAAGGCTTATTTCCTGCAGATTCAACCCCCTGGGGCCACCCCTTCCTGAGCCCCCCAAGCTCTGAGCAGAATGCTCAGACTATCTAGACCTGGGGGGGGGCACAGACCCCAGGAGGTGATGGTGCCAGGATTTTAGCACAATGTGCCCATGGCAGCCAGACATTCCCAACTCTGCTGGGGCTGACAAGGTCCAGGGACCAGGCAGGCCCAGCTGTGTATTGTCACCGAGGCCAGACACACAGACATCTAGCTGAGAGGTCTCCTTGAACCCACTACAAAGCTACATGACTGGCTGGAACCCACTTTATGTCCCCCATCATGTGACTCTCGGGCTCCCTTCAGCAACACAGAGCTGGGCCATAGTGACAAGGTGACTTGGAGATCATGGCTCAGTATGGGAGTCTCTATTTGTTGCCATGACTACAGCTCCAGGGCCAGCATCTCTAGTGAGAGCTTCGGCTGGTCCCTGGGGGCTGAACTCGTGACCTTGGCTTGGAATTAACTGTTCCTTAGGAAACTATTTGATTTGCTCATTCATGGTGTTCCTGCCCCCCTCCAGTCCTGGCGCCTCCCAAAACAACCCTAGGTCAGATGGCCAGAACCCCACCCAAAGAGAGCTGCCCAGAGGCCAAGGATACTGACCTTGCACTATCCTACCAGAGTGGGAATGGCTAACACCAGGCATCAGCTACATCTCTTAATGGGTACCATCAACCAACCTGCCCTCTTAGAACTGTCTCCAGCCTTTCTGCCCAGCTCTGAGCAAAGTCATAGGCAAAACAGGTAGGCAGAGTCCCTTGCCCAGTGCCCAGCCAAAACCACAGGCTGGGTCCTCTCTCTTCAACAATGTTAAGCCTCCTGTTCAGAGAAGTGGCCTGGGTTCATTCCAGGCTTCATGTTTATCCAGCTGTGTGGCCCCAGCCACTTCCCTTAACATCTCTGGGCCTGGTTTCAAGCCTGCTGGAACCACATTAAGAATTTCTGCCCCTCCAACTTCATTGAGACACTTTGAGAAGAATGAAAAATTGCGAAGCCAGGTGTGGTGGTTCATGTCCATAATCTCGGCTACTCAGGAGACTGCAGGTGGGGAGGAGGGGGTTGCAAGGTCAAGACCAGTCTGAACTACATAGTGAGAATCTGTCTCGGTAAAATAAAAAGTCAGGGCATGGTACAGTGGTAGAATGTCTTTCTAGAATACCCCAGCGAGGGGCTGGGGTTATGACTCAATGGTAGATCAACCGCCTAGAATCCCCTAGTGGATGGGGGTTGGGGACGTGACTCAGTGGCAGAGTGCTTGCTAACATACAAAAAGAACAAAAGTAATATGTAAATAGTTGTTTAGCCTCAGACATTGATCTATATGAAAAACAATACCATGATTATTATCTTTATCTTCTTTAAATCATGTTTGATACCAGACAGTGGTGGCACATACCTTTAATCTCAGCACTGGGGAGGCAGAAACAAGTCAATCTCTGAGTTTGAGGACAGCCTGATCTACAGAGTGAGATCTGGGACAGCCAGGGCTACACAACATAGAGAAACCCTGTCTCAAGAGAAAAAAGAAGTCTGATATCCCTGACTAATCAAAGAGTCTACCTCCTTCCTTCTAGGGGTTCCAGGAGCTGTGCCTGGGGGAGTTCCTGGTGGAGTCTATTATCCAGGTAACATACATGAAATTTCCACACACCTGTGTATGACAGATGGAGATGGACTGTTCATGAGAAATAGAATGTTTTTAAATACTTTTATTCCATTTATTTTTTAGGGTTTGCATGTGGAGGCCAGGAAACAACTATGTTTGGTTGTTTCTTTTTGTTTATTTGTTTCATTTTTTGAGACAGAGTCTCACTAGTTATCCCTGGCTGGCCTGGAACTCACAGAGATCCACCTGCCTCTGCCTCCGAAGGGCTGGGATTAAAAGTGTGCGACACCACCACTGCCCAGCTCTGTAGGACAATGTTTGGGAATCTTTCCTACCACCATGTGGGTCCCAGGAATGGAACTCAATATGTTGGGATTGGCAGCAAGTGAGCTTTACCCACTAGGCTATTTCATGGGCCAGAGATGCTGTCACATTGAGATGTCTGCCACCAAGGACCTGCAAATCAGGCCCACTTTCTGAAGAAGTTAACTAGGCTGGGGATGTGGCTCGGTTAGCAGAATGTTTGCCTGGCATGTGTGAAACCTTGGGTCCCACCACAGCACTGCATGGATCAGGTATGGTGACATGCCTGTAGTCCCAACGCTCAAAAGAACAGACATTCAAGGCCGTCCTTGGCTGTAGAGAGAACTCAGGCTCCTGCCTCAAAAGAGGTGAATCGATTAATGGAGGGAGACAGTAGCACCCCAGACACAGAGAGAGTCAAGAGTTCAAAGCCAGCTTGAGCTGCACGCAAGACCCAGTCTCCACCCTAAAGAAAGCTGCTAATGGAAGAGTTATCAGGAACGTAAATATTGTACAAGTTGGAGCACAATCCCTGCTGTCAGGAGGCTGGCGCCTTCACACATTCCTGCCATTGGAAGGCTCACAGGCCTCAAAGCATTAATCTCACTCTTGGCAATCCACCCGAGGCAAATAACAGAAAAGAGAAATAGAGCAACAAAGCTGGGGATGTGGCTCCACTGGTAGAGTGCTTGCCTGGTGTGTGTGAAGCCGCAGCACCTCATAAAGCAGGGGTGTGATGAATGCCTGTAATCATTGAATGAGCTAGCTATCCACATTGCCAAGCTTTGGGTTTGATTGAGACACCCCGCAACAATGAATAAGGGTGAAGGGTGATGGAGGATGACTCTAGACATCATGGGCCTACACACACACACACACACACACTAGACACACATACGTAAAAAATGGAAAGAAAATAACTGACATGAACTGGGCAGTGGTGGTGCACGCCTTTAATCCCAGCCATTTAGGAGGCAGAGGCAGAAGGATCGTTGTGAGTTTGAAGCCAGTCTGGTCTACAGAGCAAGTGCCTGGACAGGCTCCAAAACAATACACAGAAACCCTATCTTAAAATAACTGACATGAAGTCAAAAGTCCCTCTAGTTCCATCCTAGGACAAACTGACATAAGGCTATTGAGCCAATGACACAGAAAAAGAAACTGATGGTAATAGGAGTTGACTTGCCCAAAGTCCTGCAGCTAGAATGTGACAGTGGGTGGTGGGTGGTGGGGTGTGGCTCATCTGGATACTAATTGATATTTTTCTCTCTATCTTTCTCAATGCACACAACAGGGGCTGGTATCGGAGGCCTGGGAGGAGGAGCAGGAGGAGGTAAGAAACTAGCCTTAGACTCCTCAATGAAAGGATCTGAGTACCATCATGACCCCCAACACACCTCATTAAACTTGACTCTTCAAGAGATCCCAGCAACTAAGGGTCTTTGTTATACAGGTTGAGCATCCTCTGGGAAAGAGACCTACTTGAAAAAAACATCCTGATAGTCCTCCTAGGGCCCTCTACCTTTGTTGTTTTCCCTGAGAAATTGCTGGAGATGTTGGTGCATGCCTATAACCTTGGCACTTAGAAGGCAGAAGCTGGGGGACCAAGAGTTCAGAGCACCCTTGACTACATAACAAGTTTGAGACCAGCCTGAGCTACATGAGACACAGTCTCAAACTGAGAAATGTCACTCAACCAAAAATCCGGAGGGAGAGATGGTATTCCAGGGGTTCCGTGTCTAAGTAAGAGGACATCTACTCTAGCACTTGGAAAGGCGCCCTCACCCTCTCCTGTGGGGCGGGCTTAAGCAATGGATCAGTACTAAAGATGGGAGGGAGTACATGCCTGTCATACCAGGACTTGAGAGGTGAAGGTAGGAGATTCAGGAGTTCAAAGCCATCCTTGGCTATATCATGAATTTGAGGCCAGCCTGGGCTATGACAAGACCCTGTGTCAGACCAAAGGAGGGGTGGAGGGTAAGTCATCTCTTCCCTGCCATTCATTATCATTTCTTCCCTCTGCAGCTCTGGGACCTGGAGGAAAACCACCTAAACCAGGTAAGATCTAAGTCAGGCCCCTGAAGTGGAGAAGGTAGGATTCACAGAGCCATGGCTGGCAGGGCAACCAAAAGGAGGGCAGCAAACGTCCCCAGGTATCAGCAGTCTAGAGTCAGGCCACAAGTTAGCCAGGGACAGGAGGTTGGAGGCAGTTCACCAGCCTGTGTCCTGCTCGGGGCCCACTCTCCTAGCTTCCTGGAGATTGCCCTTTGCTCACAGCCCAAGAAATAACCCTGATGTTTCAGGCAGAGCAGCATCTAAGCTTCCCATGCTCCCTTGTAAGGCAGCACTTAGAATGGAAGATCCCAGACACTATATCTGGACATTTGACTTCTGACCCAGATGTGAGTTCAACTTCAAGCTAAACCTGACCCTGGCCCCAGATGACCTCCCAGCTTGTTCCCAGCCTCCTTCCAGCTGTGTCTAGACTATGGAATTTTCTAGTAAGAAAAAAAAAAATCACAGCTCGATCTTATCAATATTGCTGGGATCTGCCAGCATTGATCACTCTTAGCTTTGGGGAGGTGGCAAAGGGGTGGAGGTTCTCTCAATGAAACACTGTTGGATAAGAAGCAGATGGAGGCCATGGTCTGGTGATGTGCACCTGTCATCTTAGCTACTTAGAAGGTTGAGAGAGGAGGGCTCTGAGTTAAAGAGTTCAGCCTCAGATAGATAGCAATAACCTTCCTCAAAATAAAAAGTAGAGTGAATACTGAAGATGTGGTTCAGTGGTAGAGCACCTGCCTAGAATCCCCCAGTGAGGAGTTAGGAGTATAGCTCAGGGTAGCATGTTGGAAACCTTGTGTTTCATCCCTCTTAATACACACACACACACACACACACACACACCAAACTGTATCCCAGTCATATTGACACCCCCCCCATGTGTGATGCTCTCTGTGTGGCATATGCATCCCCACCCAGTGTGCCTACCACTCTAGCTCCAAAGTCCACATGCTCCCGGACAGTTCAGATGTCCAACTGCTCTTACAAAATCCCGATGATGATCCAACTACTAATGAATGTGTGAGAAGCAGATTCCCCTTCACTGAAGCTTATGGGAGTTGTGAAACTTCAGGACCAGGGCCAGCAAGGGAGGAAAAGGACGGGACATCTGGGCAAGTTAGGTTCTAAGGGTAGGAAGCTTTGTAAAGCCAGGAGACCCTGTGGCTTGTTAATTCTCCTTGTGGTACCAAGGATGGAACTCAGGGTCTGTTATGTGGGAGGCAAGCACTCCACCACTGAGCTAATTATATCTCTGGACCTCTTTTTACATTTCTTCAAAACTTACCTTTATTGATTGGTTTGTATATTTATTTATTACGGGCATAGTGCCCATGCATCACAGTGTGCCTGAGGAGGTCGGAGGACAATCTTGGAGCACTGAATCTCTTCTTCCACCATGTAGGTCCCACGTTATCATATAGGACTCATGTCATCAGGCTTAGTGACAAATGCCTTCACCCACTGCGTCATCTTATTTTTACTTTGATACAGGGTTTCACTAAGTTGTCCAGGCTGGCCTTGAACTATATAACCCAGACAGGCCTTGAAATGCAGATCCTCCTGCCTCAGCCTCCTGAGTAGCTGAAATGGCAGGCATGTATGACTGTGTCCAGTTCCTATGGTCATCTTTTAGCCCCAAGATAGGCTGTAGTCTATAACAGGCTTGGCCAAGCCACCATAAATAATCCAATGAAGGTCCCCACATCCTGGCTAGAGGGATGTCCGGGCCTGCCCAGGCAGGATGGAATGGGGTGCAGGGATTGTACAGATGGTGTTTGGGAACAATTAATCCCCTGGGAGCAAGGGTGGGTGGCTTGGCAGCTGCTCCTCCATGTGGGTGCTGTAGGCTGGCCCCTCCCTCCTGAGTTCTCAGTGGGGGACCAGGCAGCTGGGAGCCAGCACTACCCACACCCAGAGCATCAGCTGGAGGCCAGCCGCCTGGCCAGCCACTACAAACAAGGGGTATGGCAAGGACAGGAAGGATCCGGGATGAGTCTCCATGGGACACTCATGCCGGGTACACACAGTGGGTACGACTTCCTGATCACAAGCTCAGTGGCCCCAAGAAGGTAGGGATCATGGAAGCCGCAAATAGACGGGCATAGTCGCCAAGCATACTGGCACAAGCCTGTCAACCCAGCATTCAAGAGGTAGAGGCCAGAGGGTCGTGAGTTCAAGCTTAAACAAAGCTACCAGTTAAGTATTATGGAAACTAAGTCAAGAAAGCAAAAACCAAGAAGAAGAAGGAGGAGGAGAAGAAGAAGAAGAACCCCCCAAGACACATACAAATACATGAAATTTAAAAAATAAAATCTTTTAAAAATACTAACAAAGATGGGGAAACTGAGGCTCAGGAAAGGTATGGTGACCCCCCCCTCATCTACACAAACCATGGGAAGGGGAAACAGAGTGTGTCTAAAACTTTCTGACTAAGAAAAGGAGCAGACAGTAAGGCTCTGGGCTCCCAGCTGTGATCCGACTGTAACTCTTCCTCCATCTCTCCAGGTGCAGGTCTTCTGGGGGCCTTTGGAGCAGGTGAGTCCAAAGGACATCGAGGACAGTGGGTTGCAAGTGATGAGGATAAACTGGATAAGACTGTTGATACAGAGCAGGCAACAGCAGAGACCAGGCCTGCCCCCAAGTTTCACCCCATTCTTTCTTACTTCCTGTCCAGTCTGGTCCTCTCAGACCCACCATTGGACAGAAAAGATCTGAGCATGCCCCCTGTCCTCTACAAGTGTAGGAAGCTTGAGAGGAGCTGTTGATAAAACCGGGGAGAGTCTGGGAGACGAGACCAGAAAATGATTGATTCAGGCAACCACAGTCCCTGCCCACCACCATACCATACTACATGGCGCATTACAGACCCATCTTACAGATGTCTGTAATATACACATATATGTATGTATTATGTACTGGGGACAGAACTCAGGACATCTTGACAATCACTATCTACTGAGCTACATGCTCAGCCCTCATACAGTTAGGGGATGGGTGGGAAAGCTAGTCAAAGGGAAGATAATACCTAGGGAGAGCCAGGTAGACCCCCCTCCTCAGGGCTCCGAAGACTCTTTGCTCTGGGGGGAGGGGGTCCCTTAGAGGACTTTGCCCTACAACTCTAGACCCCACAACCGGAGCTGGTGCTGGCAAGAGAGAGTTTTTCCATAATTGGAAACAAACCTGCCAAGGCAAACCTCCAAAACTCCAACCTAACCGGGCCCATCAGTCAAGGCCAAGGCCATGGAATGTCTCCTGGAGGAGGAGAAGGAATGATCGGGCCCAGATGTGGAAAGGAGAGAGCCAGAGGGACCCATTTGGCTTCTCATGGATCTTAGCAAAGAGGATTCTGGATAGAAGAATGGCTAGATGTTCAGGAAGGACTCCCAGGATGGGGGATGTGGCACAGTTCATATAGCCCTAACCTAGAGTGCATAAAGCCCTGAGTTCCAACCTCAGTACCACATAAACTGGGCTTTTTGGGAACTACCTAAAACCCCAGCATCTGGGAGGTAGAGTCAGGATGATCAGAAGTTCAAGGTCACCCTCAGACACAGAGAGAGTTTGAGTCAAGCCTGGGCTACATGAGACCCTATTTCAAAACCCAAAAAGCAGGAAGTAGTGGAAACACATTTACATATCCAGGGTGAGGGGAGGGGTCTGTGTCAGGATATACCATCAAGAAAGCAGAGAAGATGCCTTGGGTGGCAGCTACCAATGGGAGTAAGGCTGGCCCGGGAGGGACCACTTCCGCCTTCACAGAAAACCAGCTGAATCCTGTCAGCTTCCAGGCATCCTAGGGGATGTGCAGGTTAATCATACTTGTTAGGGACGATCACGTCAACTCCACACATAGCATTTGATTACGATCTGATGGCTGCAGATTTATCAGGACCATATGCCCTCCACCACCACAGTACCAAAGATACAGGGACCAGCCTAGACCCCCACCCCCACCCCACTCCATGATGACAGCCATCTCACAAGGAGCCCAAATGTGAAACCCACGACTTTGACTTCTCTTCCTCTCTCCTCTTCACAGGTCCTGGAGGACTTGCAGGTGCTGGCCCTGGGGCAGGTTAGTGTGACCACCTAAGCAAGATGCCAGCCTCTCACCCCAGCCCAGGGCCCCTGCTTGGGATAAACAGCAGTTAGAGCACAGAGTAGGAGCCAGATGTTGATGAGGACATGGGTGAAGAATGTCACCTGCTCCAGGAAGCTACCTAGGGGCCCAATTATAGAGATGAAACTGGAGAGAGGCATCTCCTGGGGGCCCAGGGGTAGATATGCCCACCATAAAAGGCACATGAGAAATCTGGGACCCAGGAATGGTGTGGTGCATGGCTAGAATCCCAGACCTTGGGAGACTAAGCTATATAACAAGGCCTAGGCCAGCCTGGTTATATAGACCTTGTCTCAAAAATCAAAATATTGAGGCTGGGCATGGTAGAAGACACATTTAATCTCAGCACTCATGAGGCAGAGGCAGGAAGATCTCTGTGAGTTCAAGGCCAGCCTGGTCTGCATAGAGAGTTCCAGTCCAGGTAGAGTTACATAGTGAGAACTTTTCTCAAATGCATATATGTTTGTATATGTATACATTTGTATACATATATGCACATGTCTATATATGTATATACATATGTATACATACATTTTGAGACTGGGCTTGCCTGCTCTGGCTTCCATCTCCAGGACTGTGTAAACCAGATGTGAAGTACCTGTGAACCCAGCACTTAGGAGGTATAGGATCAAGGAGTTCAAGGTTATCCTCAGCTACATAATGATTTCCAGGCCAGCCTGGACTACATACATAGCCAGAATTTGTCCCAAGACCTAAAAGATTCACACAGCTTTGTGAGGCTGAGCAGAGCAGCTAAGCATTGGAATCCTCTAACACAGTGGTTCTCAACCTTCCTAATGCTGTGACCCTTTAATACAGTTCCTCGTGTGTGGTGACTGATCTCCAACCATTTTATTTTCATTGCAATTTCATAACTGTAATTTTGCTATTTATTAATCGGAATCGTGTTTTCCTATGGTCTTGGGGAACCCCTATGAAAGGGTCATTCCACCCCAAAAGGGTCACAGCCCACAGGTTGAAAACAGCTGCCCTAACACATGCACCCACCCTGGTGACACTGAACTCCTTCAGAGGACACAGGATCCTGACTACTCTTCCTGAGTGAAAGGGTCCAGGCTGGGCTGAGGCTGGACAACTCCCACTAGCATAGCAGTTCAGGACCTCAGTTATGCTCTCCTCCGCAGGTCTGGGAGCCTTTCCTGGAGGTGCCTACCCAGGGGCAGGAGCTCTGGTACCTGGAGGAGCAGCGGGGGCTGCTGCGGCTTATAAAGCTGCTGCCAAAGCTGGTGAGTGGCATGTTTAGTGAGAGTTCCATCAGCTCCCTGGCTTTCCCAGACTCTGAAATTCTCAAAGAACTCTCCCTCCTCCAGATCCAGAAGATAGAATTGGAGGGTGGGGTGGGGGATCCTCCTCCCCTGAGGAGATGATGTGGGCAACTAGTTGTACTCAGCCTTGAAGTGGCTTGGTGACAGGATGAGACCTGAAGGCACAGTCCCTATCTGGCCCCTGAACTCTCCTGCCTGTGGCTATGCAGGGGCTGGGCTTGGTGGAATTGGAGGTGTTCCTGGTGGTGTTGGAGTTGGTGGCGTCCCTGGTGCTGTTGGAGTTGGTGGCATCCCTGGTGGTGTTGGAGTTGGTGGCATCCCTGGTGGTGTTGGAGTTGGTGGCATCCCTGGTGGCTTAGGAGTATCAACAGGTATGGTGGCTGGACCTGAGTGATGAAGGTGATGCCTGCAGGCCTGGGTGGAGTCGGTTCTGCAACAATCCCTTCCATCCAGGTGCTGTGGTGCCTCAAGTTGGAGCTGGAGTCGGAGCTGGAGGAAAGCCTGGGAAAGTTCCCGGTCAGTGCAGAATCTATGGGGGGGATGAAGTTTAGAGGTCAGAGGTCTAGGAGCCTGCAGAGGTCAGAGCCCTCCCCACCTCCAATGCATTGGAGGATGAAGGGAACAGTATATGTTGGATCCAAAGCAGCAGACCTGTTTGAGCAATGGGGCTGAGTAACTTAAGCCTGGCTTCTAAAAATTTCTATGATCTTAGAGCAAAAAAGAGACCTCACAGATGGGCTCTGGATCACAGATAGGGAAACTGAGGTTTTAAATGTTGAGCCGGAACAGAAGGGCCCACAGCTGTTCCCGGTAGAGCTGGAGGGGAGCCCAGCAGCTTGCGGCACCCCCATCTGGTGCTCATTTGGCCCCATGCTCTTTAGGAAGTAACTTCAGGTTAAATAAAAGGCAAACATCTGGAAGGCTTTAGACTTGAGGTGGGCTGGCTGGGCTGCGTAAACAGGCTGTGGGCTCCAGAAGACAGTTGAATCAGTGCTCCGAAGGATGTGCAGGCTCTCTGACATGGAGTAGGGAGGGCTGTGGTCATGCTATGTCTGTCCCTAGCTTCCCCAGTGGCCACACTGACTTGCTTGTTGCTGCTGTCTGGTGGGATGACAGAACCTCTGCTAAGGTTTCTTGTTCTTTTGCCTCTAGGTGTTGGTCTTCCAGGTGTATACCCAGGTGGCGTGCTCCCGGGCACAGGTGAGAACAAGAGGGATGAGCTGGGGACGTAGCTCAGTTGATACAGTGCTTACTTAGCATGGGTTCCGTTCAGCATCACATAAACCAGGTGTGGCGGTACATGCATTTAATCCCAGCACTTTGAAGGCAGAGACATAAGGATCTTAAGTTGAGGCCAGACCTTATTTCAAAATCCAAAAAGTGGAGCTCAAGAGGTGGCTCAGTGATTAAGGGCACAAGCTGCTCTTCCAGAGGACCCTGGGTTCAATCCCCAGCACCCAAATGGCCACTGACAACTCTCTGTGACTCTTCTGTTCTCCAAGGGCACCAGGCATGCATTCGGTGTGCAGACATACACCCAGGTGACAGAAGGAACCTGAGTTCAAGGTCATCCCTGACCACATAACAAGTTATAGGCCAGCCTGGACTACATAAGACTCTATCAGGAAAAAAAAGGAAAAAGAAAGAGAGAAAGGAAGGAAGGAAAGAAGAGAGGAAAGAAAGAAGGAAGGAAGAGAGGGAGGAAAGAGAGAGAGAGAATTGGGGATGTACCCTCTGGCTCCCCCTCCTCCTAAAGCTAAGGCCAGCTGAGGCCAGTGGCTGCTTCCCTAAGTGTCCAAGTTCAACTTAATGAACATTAGGTCCTTGGCAACAAAGGTCAGCTTCCCCAGCCCCACCCAATCCCTTACCCCAGGCCAACACCCTCATCACAGCCTTAAAACCAGTCCTCAGAGGACAGATGGAGTCCCTAGTGTAGCCAGCTTTTTCCCAAAAGCCCTGAGTCACCAGGCATTGGCACGCCCAGGAAGTCTGCCCTACAGGAGACCCCCTAAGAACTGCCCCTCACTTCTTTCCCTGCCAGGACCTACCTCCCCATCCAGCAAGGCCTCCTGAAATCCCCCAAAAGCCCAGATTCAGGGATTTGCTGGCAGAGCACCCCTTCCTTCCTGGTTGAGGCAGCCAAGCCCCAGGGGAGGTAGAAGAGAAGGGAGAGTCTAGCAGATTCCAATCCATTGAGAGGTAGCCACTATGAGGCATGTCACACTGGCTGGGCCTCTCTACACTTTCTCCCATCCAAGTATTAACTGGCCCCCATTCTGCTAAGTTAGTTTCTCCGATCAGACACATTCAGGGTGGTGTGGCTACAGATCTCTCCGTGCCTTTTCTCCTAAGCTTGGTCACAATGGATCTATAACTTACAGTTGAGGTCCACAGAGGCTGAGATTGAACTCAGTTGAGCTGGGATTAAAAGTCAGATCCTCCAGCCAGGACTAGTGGCACTGGCATGCCACCCCAGCCATTTGGAAGGCTGAGATAGATGAATCAGAAGTTCAAGTCTAGCAAGGGTAACTTAGCCAGCCTCTGTCTCAAAAGGTAAGAAGAGCATTGGGGGTGTGGCTCAGTGGTAGAACACCTGCCTAGAATCCCCCAGTGAGGGGCTGGTGCATGTTTGTGGTTCTAAATTCAATTCACAGCACCACCAAAAAATAAATACATAAATAAAATCCTCTGAGCTCAAGCCACACAGGGAAGAAAGTTCCCACAGAGTGGTCCTTACTTTACTTGCCCTCTGTGTGAGTCATGCCTGTGATTGGCCATCAGTACTGAAATAAACTGGTTAATAGACCTAAGGTGGACAGGGGTTGCCAAGCAGCATTTCGCTTCCCTCATGATACCCATGTCTTTGCTCGCTCAGGAGCTCGGTTTCCAGGTGTGGGGGTGCTCCCTGGAGTTCCCACTGGCACCGGAGTCAAGGCCAAGGCTCCAGGTATGTATAGCCAACTGTGCTGGGGCTAGGGTAGGATCCTCTGTCAGCTTACAGGCTGAGCGGGCCTTGAGTGTAAGGGATACTTTGAGATTCTGGGCTTATCTGGGGACTTCTGTGGGGACAGGGGGTTACTTCTTATGTTCCAGCCCTGCTTCTGCTGGCTAGAAAGGGTGGAATGCTGTTCAGAAAACCCAAAGAGTAACCCTGGCCTAATGGCATTGGTCTATGATCCCAAGCAACTCAGGAGGCTGACTCAGGAGGCTTGAAAGTTCAAGGCCAGCCTGGGAAATTTAGTGGAAAACTGTTTCAAATTAAAAGTAAAAAGAGGGCTGTGGGGTATGGCTCAGTAGTAGAGCATTTGCTTAGAAACTCCTAGTGAGCCAGTGTTAATCCTAACACTTAGGAGGCAGATGCAGGTGGGTCTCCAAGTTTCAAGACAGACTGGCCTTCTCAGAGAAACCCTGTCTCAAAAGACAAAAACAAAACAAACAAAAAACCTACTGAATGAATGGGGGCAGGATGAGCCTTAGTGGTGGAGCTCTTGCCTAGAATCCCCCAATGAGGGGTTGGGGGGTGTGGCTTGGTGGTAAATCTCTTGTCCAGCATAAACAAAGGAGTCCTGCAGCCAGTGCTCTGTGCCCTACACACAGCCCTGGGCCACAGTGGCAGCTCTTTGTCTTTGCAGGTGGAGGTGGTGCTTTCGCTGGAATCCCAGGTGAGTTGAAGCTGCTCTGCCTCGGTGAGCTAGATTCCCAGAAACCTAGCCATCCTGCCCCATCTCCCTCATGTCTCTTTCTGCCTTGGTGGAGTGTTTATCACACAAGTATGAGGACCAAAACTCAATCCCCATATCCCATGTTCTAAAAGTTAAAAAAAAAAAATCATAAGCCAGGCTTCTACCCAAAGTGTCATCGGTCCTAACCCAGTGGTTCTCAACCTGTGGGTCATGACCCCTTTGGGGTTTGAATGATCCATTCATAATGATCACTTATCAGATATCCTGCATATCAGATACTTACATTATGAATCATAACAGCAGCAAAATTACAGTTATGAAGTAACAATGAAAATAATTTTATGGTTGGGGTTCACCACAACATGAGAAACTATACTAAGGGTCGCAGCATTAGGAAGGTTGAGAACCATTGCTCTAACCCAAACTTCATCAATGTGAATCCAAAATGCACCAAGATACCCAGAAGTGCCCTAAGGTCAGCACAGATGAGTATAGGAGTGTGTCTCTCCACTCCTGCCAGTCATTAGCTTATTGCTTGGGAGTGCGTCCCTGACCCATGATGAAGGGACAGCGCGGCCCTCTAGGCAGGACAGTTCCAGAGTGCCATGGGGAACTAATTCACTCCATCTGAAGAGAGTAGGCTGATACCAGGGGCTTGAAAAGAAGCTGCCACCACAAGGCCTAGGATTTTGATGTACCCTCTCTATTCTTGCAGGGGTTGGTCCCTTTGGGGGACAGCAGCCTGGTGTCCCACTGGGTTACCCCATCAAAGCACCAAAGCTGCCAGGTAAGCCAGAGTTGGGTTTCAAGATGCTTGACTGGGGTGGAGGGAGTTGGTCCAGTGGGTAAGCACTAGCTGCACAAGTGTGAAGACCTGAGTTTGAATCCCCAGAACCCTCGTGCAGCTGGCTACAGTAGCATGTATCTGTAATCCTAGTACTCCCGTGATGAGATGGGGCATGGAGACAGGAGGGTTCTCTGGAAGCTGGAATCAAAAAGACTATATAATTTCAATGCCAGCCTGGGCTACTAGTGAGTTACACAGCCTGGGCTACAAATGGGACCCTACCTCAAAACAAAACAAGAGAGGAAGAATGGGAAAAAAGAAAGGAAAACTGACCATAAGCAGCATTGTAGCTACAATGCCTAACTATCCACTCTGGTGCCACTGTCACCTCTACCACGGCCGTCAGCACAGACAATGGCTCTTCTGTGGGGAACATGCCCACAAGGTAGGCACTCAGATACCAGTGACCATGTTGGGACTTAGGTTTGGAGAGGAGTAGCTGTCCTCTCTCCGATCTACTTGATAAACTTTATTAACAACTGATGACCCTCAAGAGGGTATCACAGTCCCTGTGGAGGGTGACTATCCATTCCAATAGATGGGAGACAAGCAAGGTGTCTCTACCCATCTGTCCATTACCCCTTCCTCCACTCATTCCTCACCATCTATCCTCACCTCCTGCTCTCCATGCATCCATCCATCTCTCCTTCCCTTTACCCCTTTATCTCTCCAACCATACATCCACAAATCATTCCTTTCTATTTATTCCTCTCCATTCACCATGTCTTCCTTCTACTCATTTATTTCTCCATTATCCTGCCTTTCTCCTACCTATTCCTTTCTATCCATCCATCCATCCACCCATTACGTCTCCCTTATACCAATCCAACTCTCCATCCATCCCTCCTCTCCTGCATTATACATTATTCCCTCCATCTACCCATATACCCTACCTACCCCTTCCTCCCACCCCTTTGCCTCCCCTAATTATCCATCCAAGTGCTAATCTTTCACTCCATCCGTCCCTTGCTCTGTCCATAGGTGGCTACGGACTGCCCTACACCAATGGGAAATTACCCTATGGTAAGTAAGGCCCTCATGGATTTGTGGAGTTCTGATCCTTTCCAGCTCTATGAGCCTGACAAGTATACTGAGTCCCCAGCCATGAACCAAGAGAACACCCAGCTAGACTGGGGTAAAGGCAAGGTGCTAGAATAAAAATTCTCAAAGGACAAAGGCTGATACTAGGGACTTGGCCTAACATCCAACCAAGCCCTCTTTCTTATCACAATACCTTGAGCAAGCCATTTTTCCTTCTCTAAGCTTCAGTCTTTGTCTATAAAAGTGTATCTGTATACACTTTTGTTGGAAGTAATCAGGAAGCCCCCAGATGAGTGGCACAGGGGAGGGCAGAATGTCAAGGTTTGTGTGACAACCAAGCATCTTCTTCACAGGAGTGGCTGGTGCCGGGGGCAAGGCTGGCTACCCAACAGGAACGGGTAAGGGGCTGGGAGAAATATCACCTGCTTCCAGCCAAAGGGACACCAATGGCCCGAGCTCCAGGGACTATCCAAAACACAAGCTTAACCATCCTTCATGAAAACCTTGGTCTAAGCCCAGACTCTGATCTGGGTTGGGTCAGCTCTTTGGTCTTTACTGGCTATGAAGCCCCCAGATACATCGCATGTCTGTGTGTCTGGGAGTGAGGAACTCTGGGGATGCCCGGACACCATCACCATGTTTAGTGTCCCTTCATCTCCCCTCTTCCAGGGGTTGGATCTCAGGCAGCAGCAGCGGCAGCTAAAGCAGCAAAGTATGGTGAGTACTCTGGAGACCCCTGCCGACCTCCAGGGCCCCAACTCCCCCATCCAGTGGTGGTTAGAAGAATTACAAGCCAGGCAGTTTCTATGTCTTCTTCTTATCTAGCCCCCCCCCCCTTTTGATTTTTCAAGACAGGGTTTTACTGTGTAACGGCCTCACTCTCCTGGCCCTCTGTAGACCAGGATGGCCTCAAACTCACAGAGATCCGCCTGTCTCTGCCTCCCATGTGCTAGGATTAAAGGTGTATACCACCACCCCTCGACTCTTGTCCCCCTTTTCAAATGACCCATACATATGCGTCTCCCTCCCCTTCCCCTCCATCCATCTACCTATCCCTCCATATCTCCATCCCCTTTTTCACCCATCAACCCCTCTATTCCTCAGCCACTCTTCTCCACCAGTTCGTCCCTCTTTCTCTCTATCCATCATTCCACACCTCCCTCTTTCCTTCATCTCACCCTCCATCCATCACCTTTCCCTTCATCCCTCTATCACTCCTCTCCATCTTTCACGCCTTCCTTATCCCCTATTCCTCCCTCACTCTATCTAATATTATCCCTCCTTTAACCCACCCATTCACCCATCTTTCCCTCTCTTCCTTTCCCTCCGTCCATCTCCTATTCATCTGTCTGTATGACCCAACTTCCTCGCACACCCATCCCTTCCCTAACTACACACACACACCTCTTGACCCAGCCATCTCTTATCCACTCACCCACTCTCCTCCATCCCCCACACACACTTCAATCTATGCTTCCTTCTATCCCTCCCTGATCCTTCCTCTTTCCAACCCTACATCCTTCCTTTCCTTCCGCCATCACCCCTTTCTCTGCCCACCCATCTCAGGGGATGCAGACATAGTCCTTCAAGCCATTATTTCTCCATGTGGAAAATGAAAGAAGCTTCTTTAAGAATGTGACCTGTCATCCAAGAACCTTAGCATATAGGTGGAATTTTCCCTGTGGGTTAGACAGAAAGAACCAAGTGTGAGGACTCAGCATTTAAGAGGGGGTGACAGGAAGATTGGGAGTTTAAGGCCTTCCTTTGCTACACAGCAAGTTTGAGGGTATACTGAGCTACATGAGGCCCTTCTCAAAACAAAAACAAAAGAAGAAGGTGCCCAACCACAAAGGATGAGCAGCATGGTGATTAGAGAGAAATACAAGCAGTACCTGTGTAAGAATCTTTCAACGTTACACATCCATTGCACATACACCACCAACAATGTAACCCCTTTCCAAGCCCGCAATCCCTTGGACAGCCTAGCTGTGGAGATGGTGTGCTGAGATGGTTCCATGTCCTTGCAGTGGACAGAGTGGGCATCTTCTTCCCACTTCAGATTGAGGCCAGCTCACTAGGACCAAAGTCCTCTCCTCTGTCCCCAACAGGAGGCCTTCCTGTTTCTAGACCCTACTAGCTGTGGGGGGGCAGAAGTTAGAGGAAGAACTGGTCCTGCCCTGTAGAGGCCCCCAGGCAATTCTCCAGGCACAGAGGCCCCTTGGCAGATCAGGCTAGGTGGGAAAAGCTGGGATATGGAGCTGGGGAGCTTGGAGAGACGGACTGCCAGAGACAGGCAGCCAGACACTTGGATTATGAACTTGGCTGAGTCTTCGGAACACAGGGAAAGGAAGCCTTCAGCATTCCTTTGGGGGCCCCTCTGGCCCAAGGAACGGAGCTTGTGGTTTCTCAGTATGTAGCAGTGATTAGAAAGGGATTTGTCTGTGAACATCGGACTCACTTAATAAGCGTGTTGAAACAGACACTTTGGGGGCAAACCCAAGAACTCTGGGATAGGAACCTTCCCAAGCAAGCTCATCTAGAGATACTGAGGCTTGGTCCTGGGTGAGAGGATGGTGGGTAAAGAGCCAGCATCCTGCCAGGAGGCTGTGGCAGCAGGATTGAGAGTTCAAGGCCAGCCTGGGCTACCTAGTTGAGACCCTGGGGAGATAACCCAGTTGGTACAGTGCTTGCTACACAAGCATGAGGTCCTGAGTCCCATGCTGCATAATCCACATTAAAAAGGCAGGCAAGGTGGCACATATTTGTAATTGCAGTGCTGGAGTTGCGGAGACAGGTGGATACCTGGGACTCACTGGCCAGCCAGGCTAGCTGGCATAGTCCAAGTAAAAGTGAGAGACCCTGTCTCAGAAATCAAGATGGGGGCTGGGGAGATGGCTCTGTGGTTAAAGTGCATGCTTTGCAAGCATAAAGACAAGAGTTTGGATCCCCCCAGAAACCCACATAAATGCCAGATCCAATGGCCCACCTTTAATTCCAGCCTTGGAAGGCAGAAATAAGGAATTCCTGAGTCAAGCTGGCTGGTAAGACTAGCCATACTGATTGGAAAAGCTTGCCTCAATGAATAAAATAACAGAACATCAAGGATGACTCCTCAACATCAACCTTGGGCCTCAGTATACATGCACAGGCAGATGTGTGAATGCTCACATGCAAGTGCTCCAACACGCATGGAAAAGCATGCGTGTACACATACCTATACATGTATGTGAGGAAGGGAAAAAGAAAAAAGATCCTGAGGCAATGGACTCAAGATTAAACTCTGGTCTTGACACTCATGTATGTACACAAGTACATGCATGCACACACACACACAGAGAGAGTGTGCCGGCACCCTTGGAGCCTTCCTGTCTGGCCTCAGAAGTTCTGGGGAGCCACATGGTGCCATCCCTGTCCCAGCAGGTGCTGGAGGAGCTGGAGTTCTCCCTGGTGTTGGAGGGGGTGGCATTCCTGGAGGTGCTGGTGCAATTCCCGGGATTGGAGGCATTGCAGGTAATGCTTCTCCCAGCTAGAGGGTGGAGGTGTCCTTGAGGGGCCACCAGGGCAGAAGCTCACCCTCTGTGCCTGTCTTCCCAGGTGCTGGGACTCCCGCAGCAGCTGCTGCTGCAAAGGCTGCTGCTAAGGCTGCTAAGTACGGTGAGTGTCCGCCAGAAATCAGGCTTAGGGCTCTGCATGAACACTGAAGATCCATGAGGAGGAGTAAATTTTGCCCCTGATCACCTAGGGACACTCTGACTTTCCCCAAAGGGAGGCTTTTACCCATCCTGGTCACTCTGCCTGGAAGGCAGCTCCTGTTCAGCATGGACTTTGCAGGGGAAGAGGTGCTACCATGCAGCACCAGCCTAGAATCCCCAGTGGGGGGCTAGGTATGTGGCTCAGTGGTGGAGCACCTGCCTAGAATCCCCCAGTGAGGGGCTGGTGGGGGGCTCAGTGATAGAGTGATAGCACGTGCAAAGTCCTGGTTTCAATTCCCAGTACTGCAAAATAAAGCATAACAAAAGAATAAAAACAAAACAAGCAAACAAAAACCCACAGCCTTGGTGCCTACTGCAGACGTTTTGATTTTGCTTTGGAATTGACCATGTTCTTCCCAGCTACATATCCAAACTCTCTGGGCTCCATCTTAGTCCATCCCCAGCTCTCTGATGAATTGGATCCTTGTAGAGGAATCACCAACCCATCTGCATGTGATCCTGCACGCAGGACAGACTGTGGTCTCCAAAGTTGACATATACGTCTACTCTAGGAGGCCTGCAGAAGTCCCCACAAGGATGAATCTGAGACAGTCCTCTTTCCATCTACAGGAGCTGCTGGAGGCTTAGTACCTGGTGGACCAGGAGTTAGGGTTCCAGGTGTTGGAATCCCAGGTGTTGGGATCCCAGGTGTTGGTGGTATTCCAGGTGTTGGTGGCATTCCAGGTGTTGGTGGTATTCCAGGTGTTGGTGGCATCCCAGGTGTTGGGGGCCCTGGTATCGGAGGCCCAGGCATTGTGGGTGGACCGGGTAAGTTGGGCTATGTGTGTTTGTGTGTGTTTGTGTGTATGTGTGTGTGTGTGTGTGTGTGTGTGTAAGAGAGAGAGACAGAGGAAAGAGAAAGAGAGAGAGCACAATATAGAGTATTGCCAAGACTTTGGGTGCTTCCTAAGTCTTCTTATTCCTTCATCTATACATACTCTTGACCCCTCCTTTTTGAACTATAACAACTTTCTAACTAGCTTCCAGCAACAGCATCTCCAATTCCCTCCTAATTGACAGTATGCTGCCGAGGCAGGAACCATGCCTTTCGTTAATATGCCCCCACCCTTAGCTAAGAAGGTGCTCAGTAAATGGTAGACAGATGAATAAGTGGATAGATTGGCAAATTGTCAAGTGGGTGGCCATAGAAGTGGTCATATAGATGAGCAGTTAAACTGACCAATGAGAAAGTGAGCAGGGGCTGAATAGATAGAATGAGTGAATACACAGACTGAGAGTAATTGGGAAGATGAATTAGTAGATGAAAAAACAGATGGACATGCAGGTAGGAAACTACATAAGTATTTAGAAGAATGGGTGCATGGATAGATACATGGATTCATGGGTGCATGCATGAATGGTTGCACGGATGCATGGGTAAGTGGGTGGCTAAGGTGATGGATAGACAGATAGGTGGGCTGATAGACAAGCTGATGGGCAGTTGGGTATGTAAGCTATTGGTAGATGGACAGTGGGATGGATAAGCTGATGAACAGATAGGCAGGTGGGTGGGTAAGCTGATGGAAAGATGGAAGCAACAGTGGATGACTTGGTGATGGATATACAGGTTTCCATCCATTCATCCCTCCATACTTCCATCTATCCATATAGCCAAGCATACATTCACCCATCCATTTATCGATGTTATCTGTCAATCTACAAATGGACAGAGAGCTAGTGGGTGGGTGGGTGAACTGAGATCTAAGGACAGACAGTAAATGGATAGACAGAGATGGGGTAGTAGATGAATGGATGAATGAAGAGACATCTCAGTTCTACAAATAACAAAAAAAAATATATGGAGTAACAGACAGGTAGAGAGAGGAATATAAAGTGACCATCTCTCCGATGTTCTCTCCTAATCATTCTGTCCCTTTGATCTCTCCAGGGGCTGTATCACCAGCTGCTGCCGCCAAAGCTGCTGCCAAAGCTGCCAAATATGGTGAGTACCCTGGACATCTCTGTTCTGGCTTCCACTTGCCAGAGTGAAAACCCTTCATCCTCTTGCTAAAAAGAGAGCAATTTGCCCAGGGAAAGCCCCAGACAGAGCTACTTAGAGCCACTGGACCCCAGGATAGATTATGTCTCTCCAATTGTCTTCTTCCATGAAGCCATGCTGCTGAGTGATGGGACCATACCAGAATGACAGTCTTAGTCTAAATGGTGTCCCTACCCTTCCATACTCTGGCCAAAGTCCTCTCAAAGGACAGAAGCAACTCACTGACTTCTCCACTACAAAGCAATGCTTCCCCATATACCCAGGGAAGAGAACCTGGGAAGGCTCACACTTCATGGAGGAGACTGGGAGACTGGTCAGGGACACCCAGGAATACCAGTTTCCTGTCCTCAAAGACCAGTTTAAGGGAAGCATGTATCGCCGCCTTTCTCCCAGCCAATGAGCATCCTTACAGAGTTTGCCCAGCCTCGCAGGGGTCTCTTTTCATTGTAATCTTTCTCCTCCACAGGAGCCAGAGGTGGAGTTGGTATTCCAACATATGGAGTTGGTGCTGGGGGCTTTCCTGGCTATGGTGTTGGAGCTGGAGCCGGACTCGGAGGTATCCCTCCCCATGAACTTTAGTTCCATCTCTGAGAAGCTGAGGGAAGAGAAGTGGGGGTTTCAAGTCATGCAGGGAGTTGGAGTGTGCATGTGGGGTGTGGTGTACTAGGGAAGAGAGAGGTAATCTTCTTAGCCTTTAAGGGCAGGGAAAGGTGTGATACTTGCTCAGCAGCAATCCAGGAAAAAGACCACCCATCCATTTCTCCATCTATCAATCCATACATTCTTCTTTCTGTCCATCTATGTATCTATTGAACCATCTATCAATTCATTATGTCTTCACTCATCTATTTATCCATTCATCTACCCATTATCCTATTACCTATTCACCCATGTATCCATCCACCTAGTCATCTCATTTATCCACACATCTACACATCATCCATCTCCTGTTAGTCCATATATCTAGCCATACATATACCCATACATCTGTCCAGCCATCTGTGTGTGTCTCCATGCATTCATATACCCATCTATCCATCCATCAATCTATGCAGCCATCCATCCATTTACCTATCTGTCCATCCATCCATCACACATCCATCCATCTTTCTAACCACATACCTACTACTCCCCTGCCTGCCTGACCACCTACCTTCCTACTGCCCCATCCTTTTAACCCTTCTATCCACGTACCCATCTGCTCTTCTCTTTTCCTTGCAGGTGCAAGCCAAGCAGCTGCTGTTGCTGCCAAAGCTGCCAAGTATGGTAAGTAACTTTGCCCTGTCTGATGCTCTTCTCTCTGTGGAGCTCAGGTTCTGAGAGAGGGCAGAGCAGCCTCACACTTGGACCTCCAGGGCAAAGATGCAAATCCGCAGCCCCCATCTGCCTTCTAAGCCATGCTCAACTCTTCCACCATTTCCATTTGCTATTAAGATAATTGGCACCTTGTGCATTTAAGATGCTGGGCAATCCTGCCTTCCACCTCCCTCTCCACTTATCCATACACACATATATGTATGCATGTGGTTGGGTGGATGATGATGGGTATATTGATGGATGGATGGATGGATGGATGGATGAGATGAACACTGGTATTTATTCTTCTCCCCTCCAGGTGCTGGAGGAGCTGGAACCCTGGGAGGCTTGGTGCCAGGTGGAGGAATTGCAGCAATACCAGGCGTACCAGGCACTGGTGGAGTGCCAGGTGAGCTGTGTTCCCCATCCTGAGATGGGTTTGTATTATCTTGTGGAAGAGGCTTGGGGCTTGGCATTTCACAAATAGGAAAACTGACCCCAGAGATGGGTGGGAAAGGAGGGACAGTTTCCCCTAAAGTAGCTGGGTGAGAAGGAACCTGGTTACTGATCCCTGGCAAACCTCTCCCTGCCTGGGGAGACTCAGCCCCCTTTGTGGGAGATCCCTGTGACACCTGGAGTTGAGTGATGAGCCTTTTACTCTGAGACATTTGTTTCTAGTTCCTTACCAACAGAGGAGCCTCACTAGGTGGCCTTAGGTCCTTTCCCATCCACCAGTCAGAGATCAAAGGAAAATGATTAAAAGACCTTGGCATTCAAGGACACCCTTTTTGGTTATTGTTTTTCCAATTGGAAGATTTCTCTTCTATATCCCTACACGCAGAGACACCCAGACACACACACACAGACACAGACAGACAGACAGACACACACACACAGAGGAGAACACTTCCCTTCTGTACATTTTTTTTTCTTTTCAAAAAGGAGCTAGGCTGGAAGTGTGGCTGATGGTAGAGTGCTCGTCGAGCATGTGAAAGAGCCCAGGTTCATTCTCAGTATTGCAAAGAAAAAAGGGGTACTCAGTGGGTAGAGGCACTTGCAGTCAAGCCTGAGAGCCTGCTGTCGAATCTTGAAACCCCAGATATTGAAATGAGAGAAATGGCCCCCACTAGTTGCCTTCTAACCTCCAAATGTGTGCAGGGGCAAGCATGCAAGCATGCAAGCATGCAAGCATGCAAGCATGCACATACACAAACAAATAAGTAGACATACATTTTAAAGGTAAACAGAAAGGATGCTTAGGACATGGTGCTGTAAGTGTAAGGACCAGAGGTTGAATCCCCAGGAAACAGATAAAAGCCAGTGGACATGCCGGCCTGCCTGTAATCTTAGGATATTGGAGGGAGAGACAGGGACTCACCCAGAGCAAGCTGACTACCTAGAATAGCTGAAACAGTGGGCTCTGGGATCAGCAAGAGACCCTGCCTCAAAATCCAATGTGAGATCAGAAAGAAGACAAGGATAGCCAAACATAATAGTGCACTCCTTTAATCCCCATACTGGGGAGACAGAGGCAGGTGGATCTCAATGAGTTCAAGGCCAGTCTAGTCTACAGAGTGAATTCTAGGACAATCTGGACTGTTACACAGAGAAACTGTGTCTTGAAAAAAAAACTAGATAGATAGATAGACAGACAGACAGACAGACAGACAGACAGACAGAGCATCGGATACAGGTGCTGCTAGGAATTTTTTACTTAAGACCATCCCCAAAAGGGCTGGAATTTCATAGACTCAGAGTCACCTCTCAGCTCTTCACTGAAACCCAAAGACAACAGGGCATGTCCAGGTGCCCTGAAGCCCAGGCCACCCACCGCAGTACCCTTCCCTGTTTGCAGTGTAAGGCCATGGTACCCAGAGAAGGATACCCATGGGTGGACTCTGGATGGGGTGGGTAACAATGGGAAGAAGTATTGGGGATCATCTTATGCTCCCTTTTAGGAGCAGGTACCCCTGCAGCTGCAGCTGCCGCCGCCGCCGCCAAAGCAGCCGCCAAAGCCGGCCAGTATGGTAAGTTATCTCCATCTATACCTGACCTTTGTCCCCAGACCATAGCCTTCTCACATCTCCTGCTGAAGAGCTAATGGTGACCTTGAACTCCTGTTCCTCCTGCCTCCACGTCTCATACACTGGGATTCCAGGCATGCCCCCCCACACTTTGTTTATGCAGTGTTGGGGGCTTCCTGCATGCCAGGTGAGCACTCTACCAACTGACCACACACCAAGCCCTGAGTATGGGCTTTTCTCATAGCTTTTAGCTTGCCTGTTCCCCTTTAGCAGGGTAGGTCTGCCAACCTCTCCATGATCTTGCCCCAACCTACCTCTGAGAGCTCCCTGTTCCCCAAGTTCAACTAGGGCTGGTCATCTTCTAAATCTCCTTGCGGAGCTGCGTTCCTCTTGCTTTCTCTTAAAAGAGGTCAAGTTCACTCCAATAGCCCCAAGAATGTATAATGGGATCCAGTCATGTGTTTGGGGGGGGGGGGTGAAACTTGGCCTTAATGAATTTGAGAGCCAGGCCTAGTAGCACTGTCTTGTAATCCCAGCTACTCAGAGAGCTGAGGCAAGGGCATTGAAAGTTCAAAGGCTGCCTGAGAAATCTAGTGAGACCCTGTCTCACAAAGTAAATATTATAATAATGATGAAAACTCTGGGACCTTTTCACCATCAGTAGTACAGCACCTGCCTAGAAGCTCCCCCAAGTGAGGGGCTGGGGTGTGGCTCACTGATAGAACATTTGGCTAGCATGTTCAAGGCCTCTGATTCATTCTCCTGTACTGAAAAAGAAAAAGTAAAAAAACAACCAAAAAAAAAAAAAAAAACTCTGCTTGTCCTCCATCATCCTCAAGCAAGACTTCAAAGTGTCCCTGTCCCTCCAAAGGTTACAAACTATTAAATTTACTGACTCTTATTACATGGGAGCCAAAAAAGAGGCCCAGCAAGGGATAGTATCTACCCCAAGATCACACAGCATGTCTTTGCCAGAGCTGGAAAGAGAACCCACAACTCTTAACTCGTAGCTGTAGGCTGTTTTCATCGGCTCCTGCCCTCTTTGTTTGGGCCTTGGTTGTAGCTCAGCTACATGATTACAGAAGCTATTCCTTCTCTTATAGGTTTGGGCCCTGGCGTTGGTGGGGTTCCTGGTGGAGTTGGAGTTGGTGGGGTTCCTGGTGGAGTTGGTGTTGGTGGGGTTCCTGGTGGAGTTGGCCCTGGTGGTGTTACCGGTATCGGAACCGGTCCTGGCATCGGCCTTGTACCTGGTGGCATTGGAGGTGAGCTATGGTGGATGAGTGGGTCTGAGAATTCCCTGGAGCTTCTATGGGTACTGTCTTGAATGTCCTTCCTCTCTCTTTAGGTGCAGGGACACCGGCTGCTGCAAAATCTGCTGCTAAGGCAGCTGCCAAAGCCCAGTACAGTGAGTATACAGTGATTTCCCCCACCTGTCCCCACCCACCTAGCCGGGACACACAGCCCCAGCACAGCCATAGGGCACAACCTTTCAGATACATCCATACTGCCTTTAGGTCCCTATGGCACCTAGCTCAGACCCAGCAAGAGGGAGATCTGGCTTTCAGTCTTGGTTCCCAAGAAAGCTGAGTGGCTTCTGGGTTCCTTTAGCTTAGGTATTAAGTGTGGGAGTCAATGGCGTGGCTGCACACAGAATGTCACTAGGAGAATTTCAGTGGTTCAAGGTGAGGATGTGGTTTAAGTGATAGAGCACTTGTCTGGTATACATGAAGTCCTGGCTCCCATACCCAGCCCTGCATCCATCAGGCGCAGTGGTGCATGCCTCTAATCCCATCCCAGGCTACATGAGACCACTGGGTGAGGGGAGTATTAAATAGATTCCATCAAAAGCTGGAAACAGTAACGCATGCCCCTAATCCCAGCATTCAGGAGGGAAAGGCAGGCAGATCTCTATGAGTTCAATGCCAGTCTGGTTCCAGACCAGCCAAAACTACATACTGAGAACCTGTCTCAAATAATAATAATAACAATAATAATAATAATAATAATAATAATAATAATAATAATAATAAACATGGACTCTGGGGTGAGTCAGCAGATTAAGACAAAGCTGAGTAGGACACTGCCACTGCCCTTGTAGGCCCCTTCCCTAGGAACCTGACTCAGCTCCTGAGGTAGGACACCTCTACAGGGCACAAGTCCTACTAGCTACAACTACTTACTACCTCTTCTCTACAGGGGCTGCTGCTGGGCTTGGGGCAGGTGTCCCTGGACTTGGGGCAGGTGCTGGTGTTCCCGGATTTGGGGCAGGTGCTGGTGTCCCCGGATTTGGGGCAGGTGCTGGTGTCCCCGGATTTGGAGCTGGAGCTGGTGTTCCTGGATTTGGGGCTGGAGCAGGTAAAGAGAATCCTAGGAATTGGATAAAGAGTGCTCTTGACCCCAGAGAAAGAGGGCCTGCCTCCTCCCAGGACTCCATCCCTGTATCCCTACTCAGCATTGGTTTAGATTTTCCGGAGCAGGCAAAAGCAAATGAGTACTGGGTAGACTGTGCAGGCCTGTCATCTCAGATACTCAGGAGGCTGGGATATGAGCTTGCAAGCCCAAGGGCAGCCTGCTCTATAGAGAGCCCGTATAACTTTGTGAGGCACTATCTATAAATAAATAAATAAATAAATAAATAAATAAATAAATAAAGCCAGGGGCTAGTACTTGTAGCTCGGTGACAGGTGCAGCAATGGGGGGTGGGGGGCGCTAGCCAAACAACTCCAGGGTGTGAGATTTTAGAGGGAGGTGTAAGAAGGCTATAGACAGACCAAAAGCCCCCTAACACCCACAGAGGAGAAGGCAGAAGTCTTCTACCCAGATAGCCCAGATAGCCTTCCAAAATGTTCCAGGACAGTGGTCCTCAACCTGTAGTTCGCAACCCATTTGGCAATCTCTGTCTCCAAAGTAGAGGAAGTCAGGGTGGGCTTCCTGAAAGAGGCAGCTGAACCCCGCCCCATACAGAGCTCAGCAGCTGACTTCTCTTTCCCTTTTTTTTTTTTTTTTTTTTTTTCCACAGTCCCTGGATCCCTGGCTGCATCAAAAGCTGCTAAATATGGTGAGCTCAGCACACTACCTGGGCCCCTTGTCCCCACCCCACCAGCCTTGACAGTACGGAGTTGAGCTGCTCAGCACAGAGCAAGGCTATCTAGGAGACATCTGAATGACAGTCACAGACCTAGCACCAGCCTATTGACTCACAGCTGTCATATCTCCAAACCTCTCTCTGGTGCTGACAGTTGTCTTGGTGCAGGGGGAGTCTGATTGCTGTTGGTCCCACAGGGCTGGGCAGCTTCAGCCTCGGCCCCACCCTTTGGCCTGTGGAGTTGTGGATATTCCTTGCACCGGCATCCCCAGGCCGCCCTCCTCCCTCCTTTCCTGCCAGTGTGACTTCGCCCAACACCCGCCAGCTTGGAAGACGTGGCAGACCTGCCTGCCTTGCCACTTGGCACTCTGGCCAGACCCACACTGTCTGTGACCCCCACATTCCTGGCCTCCTAAAGAGCCAGGCAGGGGGGCCTCTGCCAGGGATGCTCCAACTGGCTACATACAGTTTGTCTCCTTGAGGCCAGTTTCCACCTCGGAAAATCCCATTCCTCAGCCACACACACACACACACACACACACACACACACACACACACACAGCCCCTGGTCACCCACAGCTTCCTTAAGTTCCTTGCTGGCTGCTCTTGGCCCTAGTCAACAGACATTGCCAGGAAAACACACCAAGGACTCCCTGGAAGAGCAGCCACTGGGTCATCTCCTACCCTTGGGGCCATGAACACAGTATTTTTGTGTGTTCGAGACCTCTCTTTTGCTTCAACCTACTCATCTGCAAAACTGGGGTGACTGCCAGGTGTGGTGGATCACACCTGTTAGGCCAGCATTTTGAAGGCTAAGGCAGGAGAGTCTCAAGTTCAAAGGCGGCATGGGCTAAATGGTGAGAGCCTGTCTCAGAAAACCAATAGAAAAATAAATGTATGGCTCAGAGGTAGAGCACCTGCCTGGAATCCGCCAGCAAAGGACTAAAGGCTTAGCTTAGGGGAAGCAGTGAGGGCCTTGGGGGGTGACTCAGTGGTAGAGGGTTTGCCTAGAATTCCACAGGCCTCTGTTGCATGCCTGCCTTATAGTCCTAGGGCATGAACACATCTTTCAGGCATAGGGCACTGAAGGCAGGTATGTTGGCACAGGCCTGTCATCCCAGCAGTCAGGAGGCTGAGATGGGGCAGTAGGTCATGAGTTCAAGGCCAGTCTCTGCAACTTAGTGAAACTCTGTCTCTCAGAAAAAAAAAAAAAAAGAATCTGGGCACTTGTGGCACACACCTTTAATCCCAGCACTCGGGAGGCAGAGGCAGATGGATCTCTGTGAGTTCCAGGCCAGCCTGGTCTACAGAGTGAATTCCAAGACAGCTAGTACTATTTTAAAAAAAATAAAAAAAAAAAAAACTGTCTTGAAAAAAACAAGAAAAAAAGCTAAAAGAAAAAAGTTCCTGGCATCATAGCATATGCCTATAAATCTCAGCACCTGGGAGATGGAAGCAGGAAAATCAGGAGTTCAAAGCCATCCCCAGCCACACAGAAAGCCCAAGCCTGAATTATAAGTAACCTGGTCTCAAATCAACAAACAAAAATATGGGCACTAACCCTCAGTCCTGTCTCCACAGGAGCAGCAGGAGCTGGTGGCCTAGGAGGTGCTGGAGGTCTTGGAGGTGCTGGAGGTCTCGGAGGTGCTGGAGGTCTTGGAGGTGCTGGTGGCCTCGGAGGACCCGGGGGTCTCGGTGGGGCTGGTGTCCCAGGTGGTGTAGCAGGTACGGGTTTTTACTAATGCAGCAGTGGGCTGACTGGGAATCGAAACTGAGCCCCTCAGCAGTCCCTCCTTGAGTCCCTCTGTGTTCCCAGGAGCTGCACCTGCTGCTGCTGCTGCTGCTGCCGCCAAGGCTGCCGCCAAGGCTGCCCAGTATGGTAAGCAAGGATTTAGTCTCCCTGGCATGTCCCTGAGCCCCTAGTTTAGCCATTTCCTGGCCATCAGGGACCCCAGAAGTGACCTGGGAGCTCAGGGATTTCCTTGCCAACAGGACCTAATTGCAGTCTTCTGACCAGTGTGTGTAATGCATGGGTCTCTCCACAGGAGCAGGAGGACTGGGAGCCGGTGGACTGGGAGCCGGTGGACTGGGGGCTGGTGGACTGGGGGCCGGTGGACTGGGAGCTGGTGGACTGGGAGCCGGTGGACTGGGGGCCGGTGGAGCAATCCCCGGCGCTGCAGGCGTTGGAGGTAAGGAATGAGTGAGTGAGGTATGTGAGAGAAAGGTATACCGAAGCCAAGTGTGATGACAAACTCGTCATCCCAGCCCTCGGGAGGCTAAGGTGGAAGGATCATGAGGCTAACCTGTGCTACACAGTGAGTTCAAGCCCAGCCTAGGAGACATCAGACCCTATTTGAAGTGAAGCGGTAGAAAGCGTAAGCAGGCAGGAGCCAGGACATAGAGGTGCCGGTTGACATAGAGGTGCAAAACCCATTTTCTCTTTCTTTCAACCACCAACTACTATAGGTGAGGGCTCATTAGCATAATGACGGGCAGACCTGTTTCTCAGACAAGAAAAATCAAAACTGGAGAGGAATTACTTCGCTCAAGTTTCTACCACCATGGTGGATGTGTGTGTTCTCTCTCCCGGCTATGAAACCTCTACCTAAACTAGACTGTATGCTATGATCCCCAAGACTGGACATACAATAGCAGCTCAATATAAAATACTGGAGGTCTGGGGAAATAACTCAATGGCAGTGCACTTGTCTAAACTCTGCCAGTGAGGGGCTGGGGTTGTGGCTCAGGGGTAGAGCACTTGCCTAGAATCCCCCAGTGAGGGGCTGGGGCATGCATGGCTGAGCGGAAGAGTTGATAGATGCCTAGAGTTCTCTAGAAGAAGAGTTGCAGTGTGACTCAGTGGCAGAGCACCTTCCTAGAATCCCCCAGTACACACCTAGGCTTGGGGTGTGGCTCAGTGGTAGACCACCTGTATAGTGAGGGGCTGCAAGTGTGGCTCCATAATAGAGTGCTTGCCTAGAATCCTCTATTAGTAAGTGGCCAGAAACAGTGCTCAATAATAGCATGCATGAGAACCTGGATTCCATCTCTAGCACCACACACACACACACATACACTGCAGCTATTAGAATGATGGATGTGTGAAGGAAGAGGGATAATGGAATGGCAGGATGTGGGAGGACAAATCATGGACCAATGAATATGAATACATCAGCTAAGAGGGCCTGAGTGGTGGGGAGAGGTGGCTTTCTTGAACCCTCCTGTATCTGTTTCCTCTAGGTGTGTCCCCAGCTGCAGCTGCTAAAGCAGCCAAATATGGTGAGTTTCCTCCATACCCTCCCCCTCCCCAACACAGGCTTTTATACCCATCACCATCACCCACACCTGCCCAGCTCATGGTACCCCTGAAGGTTTTGTCCAAGATGTCACCACCACCGTCTTGTGTCTCATCCTACACCCCTCTGTCCTCTCCTCAGGTGCCGCTGGCCTTGGAGGTGTCCTAGGAGCTAGACCATTCCCAGGTGGAGGTATGACCAGCTCTGGTGGTGTTCTTAGCTCTGCCTGGCTCTAGGAACAAACAGCAGGTTCCTGGATACTAAGTTCACATGAGGGCCCAAGGTTGGAGATGGAAAAATCACTCTAAGAGACAACTAGGCAGAGGGAGTGCTCTTCCCCCACCCCCCAAGTAGAGGGTAATGCCAACCAAGCTCAGAGCAAAGGCACAAGGCACCACACGGGCATGTCAGACTGAGACAAGCTTAACTAAGAAAGGAGCTTCCAACATGGAAAATGATCCAGTTGGTAACACATTCACTAGGCAAACAAGAAGGCCTGAGTTCACTTCCCCAGCACAGATGTAAAATTTGCAAGCTGCGGAGGCAGTGACTGGAGGATCTCTTGGTCTTGCTGGCCCAGCTAGTTTTGCCAAATTGGTAAACAAAAGGTTTAGTGAGAGACCCTGCCTCAAAATGAAAGGTGAAGAGCAAACACACACACACACACACACACACACACACAAAGACTTCAATAGGGTAAGGCAATGGAAAGGAGCTGGTCTTGTCAAGGCTAGGTGACAAGGCCAGAACATGGCCTGCCACTATTCACTAAACCCCAAATCTCTCCTGCAGGAGTGGCAGCAAGACCTGGCTTTGGACTTTCTCCTATTTACCCAGGTATGCACAAGTGTCCTGCCTGGGGCCCTGCTCTGGGCTCTGCCAGGCCCTTCCCTCTCCTCTACTCCATCTTCTAAGAAGAGTTGAGCTAATGTCTGCGGTAGAGTCCAATAGGAGGTCAGACCCCGATCTAACATAAGGACCCTTCTAGAGACGGGGACACCACATCAGCTTTTTTTTTTTTTTTTTTTTTTTTTTTTGGTTTTTTGAGACATGGTTTCTCTGTAGCTTTGGAGCCTGTCCTGGAACTAGCTCTGTAGACCAGACTGGCCTCGAACTCACAGAAATCCACCTGCCTCTGCCTCCCGAGTGCTGGGACTAAAGGCATGGGCTACCAACGCCTGGCCCACATCAGCTTTTCTAAAGCATCTTTCACATCTCTTCGGGTCCCTATGAGTGAATAGCTTCCCTACCACACTTCTCCTGAGATCAAAAAACACTGAACACTGTGCCAAGATCACACAGTGAGCAGAGACAGAGCCAAAGGTTCTGCTACCTGAGTCAAGGACTTGACCCTGCTTATGTCACATGACCTGCTCTAATCAGGGAGGGCATGATGGGCTCCCAGAAATGTACTCACACTGACAGCTCTTCCCACTTCGTAGGTGGTGGTGCCGGGGGTCTGGGAGTTGGTGGTAAGTCTGCAGTAAAAATTATATAAACAGCCATGTTGGTGAAAGGAATCTTAGCTCTTGGGGGGGGGGATTCTGGTTGGGGAGGTGGTAAAGCAGAAGGATCAAAATTCAAGAGTAGCCTATGCCACAGAGAAAGTTCCAGACAACTTGATCAACTTAACAGAACTCTGTCTTGAAGTTTTTTATAAACATTTTTAAAATGGCTGATTATGTAACTCAATATTAAAGCGGTTGCTTAGAATCCCCTAGTACGGGGCTGGGAGCCTGACTCAGCCAGTGGTGAAGCACTGGCTTAGAATATCCCAATGAGGAGATAGGGGCACAGCTCCACCGTAGAGCACCTTCCTAGAATCCCCCAGTGAGGGGGCTGAGGTGGACTCAGCAGTAGAGTGCTTGTCTAGAATGCACTAGGCCCAGGTTCCATCCCTAGTGCTTCAGAGCTTGGCTTTGGGGGAAAAGGTGTGGCTGGACCAGAGTTAGGTGCACTGATTGACAGGGAGGTCTTGGGAACCTACAAAAACAGCGTAGAGCTAGCACAATGTGAAGATGCTGGGAGAGGTAAGGGAGCCCAGGATCCACCCCATCTCATCCTCTGTTACCAACCCCCCCGTAGGAAAACCCCCAAAGCCCTATGGAGGAGCCCTTGGAGCCCTGGGATACCAAGGTAAGTAGAGACTTCATCCTTAGGGAAGGAAGAGGCAAAGTCAGAGGTCAAGGTCTCAACACACCAGCCTGGGCTATAGGAGAGGCACTTCCAATGCAGATATTAAGAGCTGAGAGCAAGTCTTGGATCCTGCATTCTCACCTTTTGTGTGTCCTGAACATTTTTGCACAGATCCCTTAGCTGTTGCCCACCCTCACAGGCACAGAGGAGCCTAAGACTTTAAGCGACAGATGAGTTCCAGGATGGGCTATCTGCTTGGTGCCACCAGGTGGCGCTAACAGGCCACATCTAGCAGAAACTGCATGAGGCCTGTGCCTGTGGTACCTCCCTAGCCCAGATTATCTATCAGCAGCCCAAAGGGACCAAACTAACCATAGCTGTCTGTGCCTCCTTCCAACCCAGGTGGAGGCTGCTTTGGGAAATCTTGTGGCCGGAAGAGGAAGTGATCTTCCGGAGACCCCTGACTCGCGACCTCATCAACGTTGGTGCTACTGCTTGGTGGAGAATGTAAACCTTCTATGACCACCCCCTACTCCATCCCCTTGACCCCCACCTGGGAGGGGACAACAGGCCAGTGGCCTTGGAAACCCACAGGACAAGGAAATCAGACAGCAGCAGCCACTTACCCCTAACTAGCAATTGCCCCCCAACATCAGAGGCCAGGGCGGGTGCCCCATCTCTTCCCACCCAGGAGCTCCCACACACACACAGTCTCCATCTCCAAGAGAAATTGGTGCTACATGTTGGTGCTTTTTTTTCATGGGGGGGGAGGGAGGAGGGAAGGGTATCCCACGGGGTCACTCCCTTCCTTGAAACCCCTCTATTAAGATGGTGCACACCTTTGTTGGGCAGTCCCACCTCCCCCTGCCCACCAGGAGCCATCCCTGGCTGCATCCCATTGGTACCCAAGTGCTGAAAGCCTTGACGCTGGATTTGGTGACACAGTTCCTCTCTCTTTGAATCTTTTGGCCCCATATCCCTCTACCAGTAGCTGTTTCCCACATCTGGGACAACTTGTCGTCAGAAGGCTCCCACACTGGGAATAGCTCCCTTGTTCTTGTGGAATCCACTGTCCACCGCCCACCCTCCCACCCATTCATCAATCCAACCATCCGCCCATCCCAACTGCCTAGTGCCACTAGCTGGCTGGGCACACCCATTATCAACCTGATTCACCTGTCATGGCAGCCTGTACCCTGTTCCCACCCCCCACCCCCCACCCCAATTGCTGGCTGGGGTGTGAGGGGTTGTGCGGGCTGGGGCAGGACTATCCTCCCCACATGCAGTACTGTATTCCCCCATCCCTTCCTGGAGCCACTCTATTACAGAGAATGTCCTACCACCCCACCCACCTCTTTGTGTTTCGCTGTGATAGATCAATAAATATTTTATTTTTTGTCCTGGATATGTGGGGATGATGTTTGATTGTTGGTGTGCTCTTTGGGTTTTATTTTTATGGTTAATTGGGAAAAAATTTTTTTTCTTATCTGAGGAGCTGTATCCTCAGGAGAAAATTCATTTTAATCGCTTTGATATAACTCTGGATGAAACACACATTTTTTTTAAAAAACAAAAACAACAAAAACAAAATAAGAAAAGAGAATTAACTGCTTTAGAAAAGACTAATAAATGAAAAACTTTTAAAGGAAATTGTCTTGGGTTTCATTGCTGTTGTGTATGCATTGGTGAGTGTACAAATACAAACAGGTATGCAGAGAAGTCAGAGGACAACCCTGAGTCTTACCCTCCAGGGGCTGTCCGCTTCTCATTTGAAACACAATCTCTCCATAGCCTGGAACTCACCAAGCAGCCTGGTTGGGCAGAGATCTCAGGGTTTTGCCTGTGTTTGCCCCCAACACCCCCATTCCCACTCCCACAAACTCAGATTATAAACCCTTACCACCAAGTCCTGCTTTATTGCTCTTGTACATGGGTTTCATGGATCGAACTCAGATCCTAACGCTTGCACAGAAAGCATTCTGTCAAGTGAACCACATTCTCAGCCACCTTTGTGTTCTATCCCTTGTTTTCAACTTCTGGCCCAGTGGTAACTTGGTTCTAATGTGAGGAACATCCACTGCCCAGGATATATTGAGAGGGTATTGACCCAATTCAGCTGTTTTCACCTGGGGATATAGCTAAGCAACAGAGCTCCTGCCTAGAATCCCCCAGTGAGGGGCTAGGGTGTGGCTTAGTGGTAGAGCACCTGCCTAGAATCCCCCAGTGAGGGGGCTCTGGGCTTGTTTCAGTGTTAGAATGTCTTCCTGAAGTTCTCCAGTGGGGAAACTAGGACTCAGAGGTGGAGACTCATCCCCAACATGGGGAAAGGTTGGGGCTTGAAAGAATATCTAATTTAAGAACCCTCAGAAGGCCATTGAGTTTCAAGGATACCTATGGGAGGGGGCTGCAGTGAAGGTGACCCAGCTTTTCCAAGAAAATGACAAAGGAGATCCATCTATCATGCATCCTTCCATTACCTCAACCAGAAAAAAACAAAAAACAAAACAAAAAAAAAAAAACAATTATTTGCTAGTTTGATATCCTTTGCCCCCAAATTGGCAAGCCTCAACCTCAAGACCTAGGATTCAGTGCCTTGGTTTCTCATAGTTTACTTGCTAGTTTTTTTCATGGTGCTGGGAATTAAACCTTGGACATCATACATACTAGGTTAAGCTCCACCACTGAGCTACATCCCCAGACCAGCTCGTGGCTTTAAATGCCACATAGGGGCCAGCAAAGTGGCTAATCAGCTTAATGAACTTGCTGTCCAGCCTGACAACATGAGTTCAAATCCCCAAACCCACATGGTAGAAGGAGGGAACTGGCTCTCACAAGTTGTTCTCTGACCGCCAAACATGTGTGTTACTAAATGCATGCTACATAAATAATTGTGATAAGAAAATCAATACCAGCCAGGCGATGGTGGCACATACCTGTAACCCCAGCAATCGGGAGGCAGGGGCAGGTGGATCTCTGTGAGTTTGAGGATAGCCTGCTCTACAAAGCAAGTTCCAGGACAGCCAGAGCTGCACAGAGAAATCCTGCCTTGAAAAACAAACAAATAAAAAGAAAGAAAATTAATACCATGTATCTTAACAAGTAACTGTCAAATTGTTATGGTTAGTAGGAGCCCATGACTTGCATACCTAAGGTCAGTTCTTTGTTTATCTGTGACAAGGCCTCCTTCCATTCAAGGTCACAATACTATTGTCTCAACTCCAGGGATTAAAATCATGTGTGACCATTTCTGGTTTCAAAGCCAGTTTTAACATCTCCATCAGAAGTCTCATAGACATGACCTAGCCTACAGCTATTTCTTCTAATTTGAAACATTCCCTCCTAGGAGGAGAAGGGAATGTTGAGAGAATTCCTTCCCCCCCCCCCACCAAAAAAATCCCAATGACAAATCAAAGTGTAATTTCACCGAAATTCACCCTGGGGAACTATTGAATATATGGGGTTTACTTACAGAGTATCAGCAGGGATTATGAAAGGAGTGTGGCTGATCCCAAAGCTGCCATACTGGGAAGTCTACTCCACATCACTACATAAGTCGAGTCTCTCTCAGTTAACTTCCCTCAGCTTGTACCACTTCTAGAGACCCCAAAGTCTTGGGCAATTAGAGCAGAATTGTATACAAATTCTGGGAAGAGCCACTGGAATGTCAAATGAAGGCCAAAAGGACGCCTGTAAGCCGACAGAGCTGATCGCCTGAAGATAGTGGCTGTTTGGCTAGGAGGGGAGGAGACTGGCGGAGCACCTGCAAATCATCTAGGAATTCCAGTCACATAGCTTTCATGAGTTGTCACCCATGTCAGGGTTGCCTAATCAGTGGTACAGCTGCCTGAGTCATCCAAGTCCCTATAAGTGACCCCTGTGAATTCTCTAGTTCAAGCCAGTCTTGGGTGGAATCATTTCTTTGGTCTGTGTTCAGGATCCTGTCCCGGGAGTAAAAGGGTATTTGTGCAGGTCTATTGAGAAGAAGGCACGGAACACAATTAGCACTCCAACAGGGACAGGCCCATGGGAACAGAGATGTGTTAGCTATATAGACCCTGCTATGGGTGGGTGATAGGGCAGGCAACTGAGGTAGGTAGAGCCAACAGATAGTAGACTGTCTGTGGGGGCAGTCACAGTAGCTTTCCCTGTATGGGGGTGCACCTGCTTGCTGCAGTTGCCTGCACCCTGAAACGGGTGATAAGACCGAAACCAAGACTGAATTCTTGAAAAGTGGAATATTTTCAGAAGGGCTCCAGGGCTTCCTTTTTAAAATATGGGTGACAGGTCTCTTTGGTGCCTGGGTCTGCCATGCTGTGATGTATATTATATCCGTAAATTGCCATGTGTTATTTGAGTCCAATGATAAACTGGTCTGAAAGCGGGCTTGCTCCCCAACTTGACACCCAAGCATGTTTAACGTCAAGTGTCCTCCATCCCCACGACCCCAACTCTGTGCCAGGAAAGGAACAGGAAAACCAGCCAAGAGTAAAAATAGCGGGTGCTTGAGGACAGCTGGAAGGTGACCTATTTCCCAAAGAGGTCTCTAGTGCTCACCCCACGGTATAAAAGTCTCTGCAGTGGGAGAGAGAAGCTAGATGCTCAGCCATGGGAAACTCAGCCGAGGGATGAAGGGTCAATGGGAACTCTTTCCCATTCACTGCTGAACTTCACCCAACGCTTCCTGCTGGATGCCATGACTCGTGATTTGGCTCTCTTTTAGCTTTAGCTGTTGTTACTTGTTCTTTTCCTTGGAAGTGTCACCCAAGGGCCCAGGACTCTCTTTATTGGGAACTCCAGCTGGCTAACTTCCCAGGACTCCCCTAGTTGATTCTTGCTGGGTACTCAGTTTGATTGTTTTGCTATCTATTTATCTATCTCTTGGCATTTATTCTTTTGCTTTGGCATTCCAAAGACTTAAACTCACCTAAAACTGAACACATGACTATCTGAGGCCCCTCTCCAGATTAAATCAGGCGTGCCCTCAGAACATCTGATGAACTACAGAGCGCATGGCAGTCTCTAGCGGTATAGCACATATGGGAGGGGATGGTCGGCATCCATAGTGTGGCCATCGCTGTGGGAGATGAGACACGACACTGAGTCTCGGCTGTTTTCCCAGATAGAATTCACCCATAAAAGGGAAGAATTACCACAAGCGGGAGGCAGGTGGGTGTCACCCTCTGCAATAGCCTCAGATTTGGCAAGAAATGTGAGAAGAAGGGGAGAGTGAAATGGAGGTGTTGTCTTGCCATTTCTTACAGCTGACAGGATCCAAAGGAAAGAGAATCAATTCAGTCTGTGCATAGGAGCTCTTATCTGGATCTAAAAAACTTAGAACCCATGGGAGGAATCAGTGAGGATTAAGAGAGAACAAGTAAGACGTGACAGAAGATACCCATTGGGACTGACGTTTAACACACAAGAAGGGGAAAATCCTTAATTCAGCATGCAGATGAAAGCATTCCAATTGGCCAGTACAGGAACTATGATAACTAAGAAGTACTCTGTATGACAACTTTGTCATCTTGACACAGTGTAGAATCACCAGGAACAGGAGTCCTAATGAGAACTTATGTACATCAAGTTGGTCTACAGGCATGTATGAAGGTGATTGTCTTGACTGAATTAATGTGGAAAGACCCAGCCCACTGTGAGCAGCAGCATTCCCTAGGCAGGGGATCCTAAACTATAAATAGAGAGTGAGCTGAGCACTAGCAAGCAGAAACTAAAGTACCCTGTATCTTAATTGGGAAAGATTTTTAAAACATCATTTAATTCTCTCCCTCTCTCTCTCTCTCTCTCTCTCTCTCTCTCTCTCTCTCTCTCTCTCTCTCTCTCTCTCTCTCGTGTGTGTGTGTGTGTGTGTGTGTGTGTGTGTGTGTGTGTAAGAGAGAGAGAGAAAGAGAGGTTGAGAATTATCTTTGATCACTCTTCAGCATTAATCACTGAAGCAGGGTCTCTCAATCAAGCCCAAAGATGGCCAGTATGGCCAGTCTTACTAGCCAATTTGCTCTGACATGATGGCTCAGGGAAAAAGGCACTTGCCACCAAGCCTGATGACCTGAGTTTAATCCCCGGGACCCACATTGTAGAAGGAGAGAACTGATCTCCCAAGTTGTCCTCTAACCTTCATACACATGATATGTCATGTCATGTGTGCACACATGCATCACATAGCTAAATAAATGTAGTAAACTTTCTAAAGAAAGGAAAACAATACTCCCAGACAGTTATGCTTCCAAAGTAAAATGTCTCCCATAGGCTCATATGTTTGAACACTGTGTCTTCAGCTGGTGGTGGTGTTCAGAAGGCTATAGAACTTTTATTTTCAAGATAGGGTTTCTCTGTGTAATAGCCCTGGCTGTCCTGGAACTCATTCCGTGGATCAGGCTGGCCTCCAACTCACAGAGATCCACCTGTCTCTGCCTCCAGAATGCTAGAATTAAAGGTGTGCGCCGCCACTGCCTGGCTGACTGTAGAACTTTTGAAAGGGGGAATGTTGCTGGAGGAATTTGGTCACTGGGGGTAGGTTTATAGCCTGGCCCCACTTCCTGGCCACTT